ACAGTACTGTACTACGGTGGCCCAAAAGTGCCAACGTTTCTATGGAGAAATTGTACTGTAGTAACTGTACAGTACTGTACTGTAGTTGAGTTTAAATTACTGTACATTACAGTACAAGCACAGACAGACAGCGTCAGGTCTAAGCACAGTACATACTGTACACTGTACAGTACTAAACCACCATTCTAGGCCCTTCAACTCCACAAGTGAATTGATAGTTGTCAATCTAAAAAGGAAATGAAGGAACAATATACGAATAAATACAGTAAAGTGATTTTTCTTCAGCTATTTTATTATTTTATTTTTTACAGAGCAGTTCAATTGTGTTTCCTGAAAACATCTTGCATTAATACCTAATTCAAACAAACTTGCAACTCTATGTACTTAAATCTGAAATTGTTGCAGAAAATCATTTCTGAACGTAGCATACATCTTTGTACAAATCGGTTATAGCAAAATTAAAATAGTTCCTTATACAATATGCAGTATGGTTAATGCCTGTAAGTAATACTGTATATTCATGTTGTGTCGAAAATTTTGGAGTCAGATAATATTGCCAATCATGAACGAAATTATTGATATTCGCGCTATGCGGATTTTGTAAAATAAAATTTTAGCAGCTTCAGTTCTCTTGCTATTCTATAATTACAGTTTAATTTATAAAAACATTTCACAGATAAAGAAAATGAAGAAAATTGTAAGATCGTACATCTTAAACAAGGGTAAATTCTAGATAGTTATCTATGTTCCCTCTGATAGCAGTTCAAGAATGATACAGACATTTTGTCTATCATTGTGCATGTATACTTTACGGTGTGGATTCTATTTCCGGAATATATGGTATATGGAGTACAGAATCTTTTGAAGTAATTCAATTAACAACGAATTTGTAAAAGACCCTATTTAACCGAAAGAACAGACAGTTTGGATCATATTTCTTTATCAGGACTACACTGCCTTAATTTATAACATCACATTCTCTTATTCCAGATGGAACCAATCACACTAAATCAACTAACTTAATCTGTAACTTTACTTTTAAAGATATTTGAAGATAACAGAAGCCATCGTAACTAAATAAAATGAAAATTGCTATATCATCCTTAAATATATTGCAAATTTAGTATCGCATCGTACTTACAGCCTGTATATCGTGTACGAACAAAAAAAGCCACTACAAGAAGCCATAACACTTTGCTAGTCATACTGGTACTGCCAATATTGCTAAGGCATTTCCATAACAGCATAGAAGAGCCCCGAAAAATCCTTAAGAAATCTCGAAACTTACCTGTAATGAAATAGAATAGTACATAACCAAAGTAAATTAAAAATCAACATTGTTATGATGATGATACGAGGATTAACTTCTTGTATCATAAATCAATTTAATTGGAATCATAACCTAGCTAATCAACACATTACAAAAATCTCTTCTTATATATCTAATTACCAGTAGAAGGGTAATTTACAATCTCATCATTGATTGGAGCATCATCGCGAAACTGTAATAAATTGAGTGAGTTAGTCAAAATGTCTCAAACCAACATTCGATGTAGAACTCTCCAGATTTTTAATATCTAGAAAATAAAATACTTAAATGTAGTTACTGACGTCTTCATATTTACAATCCGTTGTTTCACTTTCACTTATTGCTCTCTTTGCTGTCTCTACGTAGCCCTATTTAATATATACAAATATTCAGTATATATTCTAAACCAAAGCAATATTGCAATGGAAATTATGTGCAATATCTAAAATTTTCTAGAATCACTTTAATTTTACCAAGGCTTTTCTACTAACAAACTAATCTTAGGTTGTGTCAATTACTAGAACGATTCATTATGCAAAAGCCAACAAGTTGCAGCACACTTTACCTCTACGCGATTGCGATCTAGAAAGGCTTCGTTGTCCTTAATGAATTGGCGTAACTTCCGGAACTGTCGTGTAGGCATTAAAACGTTGATAATATAGTTATCCACAACCGTTTGATAATCGGAAAGATTATCTTTATTATCAGAATAGTTTAACCAGTCTTCGATCATAATTTGAGCCAGTTCAAAATTATTGATCATAATAAATAACGAGGCGCTTTAAAGGAGAAATAAACGTATTTTTTTTTATTACTATATATCTATTGATCTGTATCGTGATTATTAAAATGCATATACTGTATATTGTACTATTCTAAATAGAAAAATTACCAAACTAGTATTAACTTCCTAGGGAGATGATAGAAATCACTGTATTGCTCTTTCACGAAAGGAACAACTAGCTGCCACTGATTGAGTTCTGCATAAGCTTGAATCGATATCATACATAGGCCTTCTTTAATTCTAAATAATAATGCAAATAGATATTCTCAGGACATGTTGAAGCTATAAAGAAAGCCATAAATATAGTATGCTGTATATCCACAACTTATATACAGCATTAAGTGCAACACATGTAATAAAACATGAGTTTAGTACTACAATGCAAATTTCACAAGAGAAAATGTTCTATTAATAACGACTATCGAGTAGTTTATGGATTTATAATAAACCTTTTCGCTTCCGAGCTGAGATTGTTAGAAACGTTACATTCAAGTAAACCATCACGACATTCTTCTAGACATTTGGCAAATTCTTGAAGGACAAGGTAACTTTTAGCTTCATTAAGCCGGCGTAACCCTATCATGCTAGATGGCAACGCGATACTATTAACCTACAGCTAAATAAAAATATCCTTTGCCTATCGTGGAGATATCATCCTTGTCGACTCATATCCACCATAGAGATTACAGTACTGTACTGTATAATGATAAACCTTATGTACAGTATTACTGTACACTGTATGTACTGTACTGCACTGCACTGTACAGTACTGTACTGTACTGTACAGTGTACAGTACAGTACTGTATTGTATTGTACTGTACTGTAATTTATTTAAATAAATCTGGACTACTGTAGCCCTACTGTACTGTATTGAGAACGAGAAGCAGTACAGTACAGTATGTTGGTACTGTACAGTGTACAGTACAGTAGAAGTTTCAATGTGGTTGAACTATTGTACAATGTATAGTACTGTACTCTACTATACTGTACACTATAGTGTACAGTACAGTACTACTGTATTGAAAAACGGCGGCTTACGGGCGGTGCGCCGTTCATACTTATAACGCAATGTAATTGCAAGTTTGTGTAACAGTAGATTCATTAGTGTACGTACTGTACTGTACCGTAGATTACAGTGTTTGTATAGCGATTGCACTCATTTCGGATTAGAAAATCAACCATTTGATCGGATTTTATCTGATTCGGGTTGCGTTTTTACCCCCATTTTAAGGACTCTACTGTACTGTATACTGTATAGTACAGCGTATAGCGTACCTACAGACTACAGTACATCAGCAGAGAAGTGTGTATCAAGAATTCTGTGGTGCACTTGTATTGTACTGTACTTTTACAGCTTTGAGGCGGCTTCGAGTCGAATCAAGTGGCAGTCGGAAGTTAGAGCTACGATCGACTCAGGCTCAAGATTCATGCATCAGTCTACAGTACAGTACAGTACAGTACTGTACTGTACAGTAGACTCGAGTGATTTTAGTTCTACAGTACTGTACTGTACAGTACAGTACAATAAATAGAGAGTAAGGGTCAGTAGTTAGTTTTACAATAACTTCAACTACGTGTTCAATTTCTTGTCTCCATGCTAAGTGAGAGTAGTACGAACTTTCAATACCGTTGTTAGTATTAACTCTAGATAGTAATACACTATAGAAAACACCGGGTTTATTGGTGATTTCTGATTGTTGACTTGGGTTGTACTTTTGTACTAAATTCCTGGGTTATTTGACCGGGGTTATATTATAACCCACTGCCAGCTAACACTGTTTCTGAGCCGGACCTCGGTCACCGTAACTAGTACTATATCTGCATGTAGCACTTGCATACTTGCATTAGCTATAATTATGATGAGCAGTACTTCTAGCTCACCAGGAGAAACTTTGCTGTGCGCAATGAGTAGTAGTAATATCTTGATAGGATCTTATTAGTAACTAACTTTTGATTTTAGGTGTTCAAAACCTCTAGACAATTTCATACTGACTCTATAATAGCCAAAAGTTATAGTTATCATTAAATGTGCTTATAATATATATGCATATAGGCATGCTTTAATCGAAAACCGCCTTTGCGACTAACAGTACTGTAAATAGAAAATAGGCGTCTTAATGCAATAGGAAATAAAAGAAAAAATCAACCTACATTTATAATATATAATGCTTGTACTATAATTATTTAGATTTAGAAGAGGCTGCTGCATGAAGATCTTCATAGTTGTTTATTGTATCTAAAACAGTATCGATACAGGTAAATTACATCATGGTTACACTACTGTAGTAAATTAAAGGTCTATTATACTGTAATATGCTATACCCTTAATTAATTGTTTTTTTATTAATGCTGTAATGTGCTATTTTTAAAAACTGTCTTTTTGAAGGTACTGTACTGTACACTGTACACTGTACTGTACAGTACGTACAGTACTGTACAGTTGTACACTTGTACTGTTGTACTGTACAGTACAGTCTACATTATGATCATGCTGATGATCTCTACCATTGGCCAATAGCAGGCAGATAGTTCATCACAGGTTCCGTTGGTGAGTGGCGCGTTTGACTATGAAAAAGTCTGCTTTGATTTTAATCAATCACTCGAATATAGTGTACAGTACTGAATACTTGCAATTTACAAAATAGTAGATCTGCTTTTTCTAGAGTAGCGACAAACCAGAGCAATATCGAACGATGGACGTTGTACAGTACTTTCTAGAAATTCTCATGATTTTATACCGCATTTTATGATTTTCTTTAACCTAACCTAGACCTGTCAGAGGTTTGATTAACGGTAAACTGATTTAATCGTACGGTACATGCTTTTATGACTTCTAGCTAGCAGCACCTTAATGTACTGTACAGTGTATAGCGTAAGTGCACACATTCTTAAACTTTTAGACCATTATGATTTATTCGATGTCAGTTTTCTTTGATTTCCAAAAGTTAGAGGTAATCGTATGCATATTCCCCAAAAGCTTTAGTTATATAAGTCGAATTGATCCTCAGTAGTATCTAATCAGAAACAAGATATTTAAATACTATCACAGTACTGTACTGTATACTGTAGTGTAGTTTAAACATTACTCACTGTCAAATCCGAAAAATAAAAATTTACCTAATGCAACCGAATTAGTAACTTCTTGACATGTTTTGTATAATTTTGGCTACTTATTGACTGTATAAACAGCATAATCAGTATTTAAATTAGGGAAAATTAATGATTTGTTCAATTGAGATTATTTACCTAGCAGTCACTAGTCTAAGCTTCGCTACTCGTACATTAATGTCAAAGGCAAATTTACCGAATTTCCTAATTTTGTTAGCGCATGAGATGTTAAGTGTATTCTAAATTATAAATGAATACCGTATACAGTATATAGTCTACTGTAGAGCTGCTATGGATTACTAAAACTACGCGAAGTATAACGAGCGAGGGAGTTACTAGTATTAATAATAAAAAGGATGATGTAGTCGATGCTCTGGCGGAAGATGATAATAGCATGATGGTTGGTAGCTTCACTACTCAATAGGGACTATTAAATATTAATTTATTTGTAAGACTCATTCCTTTATATGATGAGTAGTGTAATAAAATTACATAAAATAGGCGCAAACTGCATCTACTGTATTCTCTAGATAAACGTGAAATCCTTTCGTAGCAATACAGTGACTCATTTTACCTCTACAGTAATGCAGTTGTGCCATAGATTATTAAATAAATAAATATTGGTGATCCAATGCATGCAGTAAAGTTTTTGGTTGAAGCTCAGTCAACTAATTTGCGAAAAACAGTACAGTGTACAGTATGTATCGTACCGTACGCGCGCGCACATCACTGTAGGAACCAGTGTGTATTGAAAGGGCGATTATTTTTTATTTATTTCACGGTGAAAGCGGTGGAAATTTTATTTTTAATTTAAGACTTACATCATTTTTATTAACTGTAAATTAATACCACCAAGCATAAGTCTACTTGCAATTATATTGTTCACGGTTAACCCTCCCTTAAGTTAAAATCTCCTGGCTTTTATACTGTACTGTACCTTCGCGGCTTCGACGGCGGATTGTACTGTACAGTACTGTACAGTACTTAGTGTTGGAGAATCTACAGTACTGTAGTGTACAGTTCAGTATACTGTACAGTCATGCTTATGCTGTAAGGTGTACAGTATGTACAGTACAGTACAGTACTGTATTCTGTGTCAGTGTATCACAGCCACTAATCTTAGCACTTTCCAAATGTCGGTACTGCACGAGTCTGGATGTACTGTCCTGTACAGTACTAGTAATAATAGTGATTGCGATATCGCTATCGTTGTAGCAATTCAAAATTCAATCTACGAAAATAAATTTTTATTACTACGATGAATATAATTATTATACGTGTATCATATACATACGTACATTGCACAATTATTATAGGTTAGGAATTCAGCGCGAAATGGAAGAGTCCTTAAGGAACCTAAAGGTTTCATGAGGATCATACAATGGGTAAGAAAGAGTACTGTAAAAGACAACTTATCTAGTTAAACATACAGTGCAGTAGTATAGCGGATAATATGATACGCAATTTGTTACACCAAGTTACGCCTATGCATCTATACAGCAGGTTTTCTAAGCTATTCGTTAAACATGCAAAGGAAGATAAGCTCATTTATTAATTAATTAAGGCTTAAATGCTTGTAATCAAACAATTATATTTATTAAATTTTCTATCTGCGGATTATTCATAGTTTGTAGCCATCCTGGCATTTGGAACTGCCACCTCGTTCTCAGTAATGACTGCAGTAACTATTAGTTGTGGAGGATCAGTACGTAACGAAACTGCTACCCTTAAGTTCTCATACCCATTCGCCTCTGGTTCGTTGACGTATGCCTCACCTGCCTGTAACAGCAGCGGTAGCAGTAGTAATCGCACAGAATTTGTAGAGCTAGGCAGCAATATCTCTGCTAGTGTACAATTTTTTGTCTTTGTTGGCGTTATTTCTTTCCTGTATACGCTAATATCTCTTGGTATCTATGTCTTTAAAATTGACCCGGCTAATCCACCAGAAAGAGAACCATATTTTAAAGTGGTATGGATGTTACAGTACATGAAGCATAGTATTTCAAAATTACCTGTTACGTATTTTAGCTTTACTAATATCGATTTGATATTTATTCGCATTATTTTCTTATATTGCTGATACCCTAGGATTTCGTAATTAGTGTCATATTTGTCATATTTTGGATTGCTGGTGCTGGTGCTTGGGCGGCTGCATTAAACGAACTAAAGTTAGAGGCCGATGCTACAAAATCACTCGCTCAAAAAGCTGCCGGACCATGCCATCTTTACAAATGTTATACCAGAAAGCTCTCAGAATTCGGCAAAGCTAACGCATCTGTTGTAAGGATTTAAGCCCAGTTCTGACTCCCGAAATCAATAAAGTGGCTAGTTAAATATTCATTTTAAGATTAAAATGATCTTATGTAGAAAACTTTATTTAGGTTTTCGGATTCCTAAATTGGTTTCTATGGTCAGCGAATCTATGGTTCCTTTACAAAGATACACCATGGTTCAAGGGTCAGAATAATAACAACAGCAGCTCTAAATATGGAGCAAGCCCGGATAGCCAACAGTCTACCTTACCATCCCAGCAACCTCCAATGAATGATGAATATTAAAATTTTAGAACCGAAATGACATTCATCGGAATGCGTATATCATGTAGCCAGCAGTCTGCACTAATTGAATGATTGCATTTAGCCATTATCAATTACTCAAGATGTAATACTGCGATACCGCATATGATCTTTTAAAGAATAGTAATATATGTCTTTACATATAGGTATAGTATTCAATCTGATTTAGTTATCAGATTTCCAGCTTTGAAACGGTAAAAATTCTTATGCAATATGTTTTTGTAAAATTTTGTAGTATCAGCATTTGTAATTTCGTCCATAAGTTAGAGCTTAGTGTTAGCTTTTACAAGGTATTCCTGATAATCGATATTTATCGGTATTTACAGTTTACATACCTACAGCATAATTACGTAGTTAATTTTCAATTTCAAATACAGAAATAATAATAGAACATGACATCATGCCGTAGTATTGTACGAGCATCATGTCTGCAGCGTGAAAGTAACTATATTGTAGTATTTCATTATTTTCTTTTCAACTTTTGCTTGAAACACTAACCTGTGTGTTCCATAATCAGTCCTACCTACTGTCCATGTTTCATATGAAATCAAAAGTTTACGATACAAATGCTGTATTTATATTTAGCTCTGATGTGGCATTAGCGGTTAAGGACATGCATAAAGAGTACGCAATCCTGTGATCTCACTCGATTTAACTTACAGATGACGTAAAAATAAAAAATGGTACTGTATATATAGCACTGCTTACGCTGACGATACATCTAATAAGGGAGTTATTACGTTTAACAGTGTTTGATACAATCTCCGCAGATTAAAGAGGTAAATTACAGTACATACATTGTTTTTGATCGTCCAGGGTCACTTACTGATTATGACAGCCTATGGTACTGACTCAGCCACATTAGCGTGACGTAGTACTCGTATACTCACTGCTGTACCTGTGAGGCTGCGACTCTGCCTATGAGTAGTCATAGCGCACAGTATAATCAATAATTCACCTGTGTGTACAGTAGTATTACAAATCGCAATTAGCAACGAGGAAAAACTGTTATAGAAATTACTATATGAACCTACTGTCAGGTTTGTCATTACATCTACCTACAGTGCACGACAACTCTAAATACTGACGATCTGCTATCGTCGTTTCCTTATGATATACCCAAAAGTACCGCTTCAGCGGCTCTATACCTTCATTATACTTGTCCAAATTTGACTGATATATCTGGACAAATGTATTGAAGAAATACCCCTGCAGGCTACAGCCGTTTCAGCGGCCATGGGTGGGTAGTAGGGATTTCAGGATATGTCATATGGATATGACTACAGTAAAAGTACAGTACTGTACTGTACTGTACATCTAACAAGGCACAATATTGTATCTACTGTACCTTACAACTATTCATCACTCAAATTTACAGTACTGTATATCTTCGGGTATGATACTAAAGTACAGTTACAACGAAAGATTGATTTGTTTCCAAATGAGTACTGTAGAATCCGACTTGCTTTTGTCGTGGCGATCAACAAATCACAATGTCAAACTCTTGCAAAATTAATTTACACTTTAAAAACTCCAATATTTCGCTTGGTCAACATTTATATACAGTATACTGTACTACAGAAAACAACCAAATACATTATTGCGTATGGGTAAAAAAGAGCGCGTTTATTTAAAACCATACAGTACAATGGGACGTCGATACTATCAATGAAGACTGGCACTGACGTACAGTACAGTACAGTACTGTATTTCTGTACAAACTCGCCACACCCGAGAACATGCAATTTAATTAATTTAAAGTTGGCATACTTTTACTGTACTGTACTGTACAGTACTCAAAAAGATTTTGCCCACGACTGTAATGTACAGTACTGTAAATTATACTGTAATTATTGTAATTCATAATACGGTACTGTACTTACTTTTTACGTGTTGAAGAATTCAGGATTTACTCCTGTAATGGCTGTTTTAGCTGCTTCGCTAAGTCATAATAAAATCTTAGTTAATTTGCCTTTAAATAACACTAATCATCTATGGATGACTAAATATAGAAGATTACTCCGAGTCCACTGCACTAGAGCTGTTAAAGAAGGGGTATGGGAATACATATAAATAATAATAATCAAATTTGAAGTTGAAACTTCGTTTTGAAGTCAGATCTCATGCCTTGCGATTACTGTGTAGCCGTGAAGTTTCGCTTTCTCATACGTGTTTTATAATTAATTATCTATCTATCTATCTAACTATATAAACAATTAATACTACAAATTATACTGCGTATAATTGGTGCGGCTAAATGTAATCTGATGTAAGGACTGAAAATCTGTCTGCTACTTGCACAATGTAAAATCGTATGCATCGTGCATCCATAAGGGTAAATAAATGATATAGTTCAAATGCAGCATATGAGTTTGCAAAGCAGTCAACATTTTGTAATTGATTATGTGTTTACACTCATAATTCTGCCGACTGCTCTTGGCTTTAGTACAAATTGAAAGTCCTTTATTTATTTTAAAACGCGATATACGTACATTACGATACGGATCTTTAATTCATCATACAATATTGCAACATACAGTATTTCGATTTAATGTCCTTTTAGTGTACTATATATTCGTAAGCTTATATAACATTTGCTCAAAGTAAGAGTTTTAGGTTATCCAATACCGTAAATTATGAGATGAGAAAGCTTAAGTACTCAAAATATTTATCTAAAATATAATCTGCTACTCTGTATGGTAATACATCTATGTTCATCATTTACTGCAGTGCATATGGCCTTTTACAATTAAGTGTAAAACGAAACAGATAGCATAACATCCTGTGGTTTTGAGATATTCTCAGTGTACTGATATCTCTGTAGCCAACATGTCAAATAAGCATAATTTTACTCAGGTTGGAGCCAAGGAGTTATAGACCATGGATAGAACACTATATCACTAATTATATTGTTTGCAGCTCTCTTTAAGCTTAATTATAAGACATAATGTGGTTATTGCATCTTAGATTATAGTACTGAGGATTTAAATTTGCCAATACACACGGTACTACTACATACTAGAAGCGTTTTTTTTCCAAGATTAGAACAGATTTGTGATTTTACTAAAAATCTTAGGATATGAATAAGAAAAAGAAGTTCTACGTGTTACCAATGTTTCCCTATCCATCTGGTACACTACACATGGGTCATGTGAGAGTCTACGCTATGAGTAATTGCATAGCTCAATTCCGGAAAATGCAAGGATTTAACGTAAGTTCTTGTAAAATCATCTTAATTATAGAAGCTTGTAATGATTTTTATTGTAGGTTATCCATCCAATGGGTTGGGACGCGTTTGGATTACCAGCGGAAAATGCAGCTCTGGAAAGGGATTATGATCCCATCACGTGGACTTACAGGTCGATACTTCAAGAGCAGTTCATAGCTTTGCGTACATCTGCTACTGACCTCATTCTTTCGGATTATTCCAGTATTTTATATTAATTTCAATGTTAAATTGTTAAATATTAATAGTAATATCGATCAAATGAGGACACAGCTGATAAATCTAGGTCTTGACTTCGATTGGGAAAAAGTACGAAAGCTTCGAATTCGGTAGAATCTTAACATTGAATATGCTAATCGAAGATAATTTAATTTATTAGGAAATTATGACTTGCTCACCAGATTATTATAAATGGACACAGTGGTTGTTCTTACGAATGTTCGATGCTGGCTTAGCTTACCAAAGACAAGTTAGTAAAATGTATATGCTCTGTTAACAGTCGTTAATTGTACATAAATAATGGGAACTGCTGGCATATTTAAAGCTATTTACATTTGATGATTCGGTTAAGCATTCTATACATCTTAAAACATGTATCCAAAGTCCTTGATAATTCAGATTTATCTGAATCTAGGCTTTGGTCAACTGGGATCCTGTGGATCAAACTGTACTAGCAAAAGAACAAGTAAGAACGATATCCTCTCTAAATGTTCAATTAACGTATATAAGGTGAAAATTCGCGAAGTTGAATTCTTTCCTTTAACCTCACTCAGATCGACGAGCAGGGACGATCCTGGAGAAGTGGAGCTGTGGTTGAAATGAAATTTCTAAGACAGTGGTATCTTAAACTATCGTATTACGCTGATGTAAATGAATTCTTCATAACTGTTACCATTTGATAAAATATAATTCTAAAATAACTACTTCTGCACTCAAAATAACCTTAATCATATTGTTATACTCCGATTTAATCGCCCGCAGACCTTACTTTCAGGATTGGATGATCTAAAATGGCCTGAAATCGTAAAGCAATTACAGCGTAAATGGTTAGGAAAAAAGATGCTGGTAGAGTTCGAATTTTACGTGGAGGTTGTTAATATTTCATGACTCCATAGTTTATCGTATGAAAATTGATATGATATTGCTATGCATTACTACATTTATTTTATTTCATTTCCTGCAGGGTAATCAACGTATTGGAGAATATAACAAATTAAGCGTATGCACGGATGCACCGCAATATGTATATGGAGCAACTTATGTTGCCATTGCTCTAGATCATCCTTTCGTGTCCGCTGTTCTGGTAATAGAATAAGCAAGCCTGCGTTTATGTACTGCTGCCTAGTCTAATTTTGTTGTTACTTTACTTCAGGAGAATAGTCCTCGCACGATTTATAACAAAGAGCTTGGTATGCATTAAAGCAAACTCCTTTAACTCACAGTCTTTTGTGAAGCAAAACTGCATTAGAAAGTTTTTAGGCCTGTCCTTTTAAAAAACATACTGTGAATACTTCTCAGAATTTCCTTTAGGTATTAACGTGGTTAACCCGTTAAATGGGTGTAGTATTCCAGTTTACGTTGCAAATTATGTACTTAGCGATTTCGGTTCTTTGGCCGTTTTGGGTATGCGAAGCCTGTTTACATTTGGTATAATCCTACGTACACAGTATTAGCTTGACTGAGATTTTGGATCCCTATAGGAATCCCTGGACATGGCGGGAAACGCGAAAAGGGCTTTGCTATGAAATTCAACATACCAATATTATATGTTCTTGATGGTAGAGAATGCCTGGTTAATTCGCATCAAGTATGATTACAATATGTGATCTTTGCGCTTAAATACTCAATTGGCCAATTTTTTTGAGGCACCTTCCTTTCTGAAGTCCTTTTAATAGCTAAATCATGTAAAGTTTACAGGAATGAACACCAACGAAGCTGCAAAAGCGATTGTTCGATATGCCGAGGTCGATAATTACTATTTTCTCTTACGATGTAGTGAGTAACAGCAAGATCTGTAGATGCTATTACAAACAATGTTTTACTAATTATCCAAATAAAACGGCATAGAAAATGAATTTTGGACGCTACAGAAAGCTTTTTAAAGTCTCAGACTGGCTGATATCACGTCAAAGATACTGGGGTACCCCTATCCCAATTATTCATTGCGATTACTGTGGGGTAAACATCATGCATTCCCTTTCATCCCTGGTTCTAGGAACTTGTTTGCATCAATTTATACCTTGCAGAATACTTACAAATTTTTCTTATTCTCAATAGGTAGTACCTGTACCGGATGAGGAACTACCGGTGCGATTACCGGATTATCACAATGCTAGCAGGAGCAAAAGTTTTAGTTTGCGAAATATATCTGAATGGCTTAATACATCATGTCCTAAGTAAATACCGTATACACGTGTAGCATCCATCGTATTACAAGAATAAAATTTATTCTGGATTACATCAATATGTTAAAATTTTAACATATTAAGGGCGCTTGATGATATGACAAAGTTTATTATATGCGTGATTCGAAATTTTTTATATAATACAGTTGCGGCCGCTCTGCTAGAAGAGAAACGGACACCATGGATACCTTTGTAGATTCAGCATGGTATTTTTTGAGATATTTAGACCCAAATAATGAAGCCAGGTGACTAACTGATGCAATGCTATGTGAGTATGAACATGATCATGGAAATTAATAAAAATTTAAATTTTCAATATAGGCCATTTGCAAAGGCATCTGTTAATTACGCAATGCCCGTTGACCTGTACATTGGTGGAGTCGAACACGGTCTGAAAGTGCAAATATCAGAGTTTTTCACATGTATCGACAAAATTTTTTAAGTTTTTTTTTATTTAGCTATCCTGCATCTCCTATATGCAAGGTTTGTAACGCATTTCTTAAATGATTTTGGATACATATCCAACAAAGAACCTTTCGCATGCTTATTAACACAGGTATTAGGTTACATTCTGTCATTATATTATGTTCCAGCTACTTAGTGATATTCGAATCTTTCAGGGAATGGTTCATGGTCGAACCTATAAGACGAATTCGTCCGGAAAATATCTTAAAAAAAATGAAGTCGAATTTAGTGGTAATATCGGATTTCGAATTTAAATCAGCTTTATTAGTATAAGCTTTTATATACGTTTTATTATATGTTTACTACTCATTTAGCAAATCAAGCTATAGAAAAGACTACTGGTGAAAAAGTCGCTGTGTTTTGGGAAAAAATGTCTAAATCAAAATATAATGGTGTCGATCCTCAGGTAAATTTTTTACTTCTAAGTAATCAAGATCCCTAAAATAACATTCTTTCGCACCTTCTGTATCGTAGGATGTAGTGAAGACATATGGAGCAGATGCTGTACGACTGTCTCTATTATTTAAGGTTTGTGTTGATAACTATCGATTCCTAAAGCACTACTGAACGGGTACAAACGTATAAACACAGATCGAAATATCAGCAGTTTATTCATCGATTCATTTAAAGTTTATTCCGCTTACTTAACTGTTCTTTGCACTCATTGCCGTCAATCTCTTACAGGCACCTCCTGATAATATCATTTATTGGGATGAAGAAAGTAATATTTGTAACATGTCATTTATTTAGCTATAATAATAAATATAATTTTCGAGCTGTGATTTACCTGTCACAAATATTTAACCTTTCTTAAAAATAGCAATTATCGGAATTACATCCTGGCTGAACAGACTAAGGAAGATGGTAGCTGATGTTGACTCAACAAAACCTAACAATACGCGAGCAAAAGTCCCTGAAATAAACTACAATAAGTTAGATAAAAAACTCCTTCGCGCAACACATCAGGCAATAAAACAGGTAGCATATGAGTGATTAGACATACAGATTGGATATAGTATAGATACGGTATGCAGTGGTACTTTGTAACATTTTAAAAACCGTGGTTTAGGCTAACTTATCTCAATCATTTACACATATATCGCACTACCTGTATACCACTATTTATAGGTTACATACTCTCTAGAAAAGGCTTTTACATTTAATGTTGCAATAGCCGCTTGCATGAAATTGTCCAACATCTTGCAGGTAAGCTATACCCTTTAAAGGAAAATGTTGATCAAATAATTGATTAGTTGAGAACACTGTTACATAACCTATTTTCGGTTATATTACACGAGATTCGTTATATAACAGCTCTAGATTAACTAATTCGGTAGATTCCATTACGATATTTGTTATAAAACGGATATAGGTTAACTCATGCTATACTCTATTATTAAATAGCACGTATTGCATAGTTTATCACGTATAATATATTATTCGTCTGTTGTTTGAGCATACATTATCACTGTAAGCGCGTATATCCTCATTAGCAGAGTGTTATGGATATCTACATCGATAAAATAACAGCAGAACTCTGTAATTATCTCATCATTTATAGGACATCCCTGGCGAAGTTGCTCAAAAGTCCACACAATACGTCGAATCTTTGCGAATCTTATGTATATTGATATCCCCCCTAGCTCCGCACTTTGCATCAGAATTATGGAGTGGTAATGAATAATAAAATATATATGACAAACTTTTATCACTAATGACCGTATAGGATTATATATTAATAATATATTTATAATAGTACTATATGTATTTGAGAAGAAATAGTATGACAAAGTATAGTATTAAGTAAAGCTTAATCTTTAGCTAATCAAAGTCTTGCTATCGGATGTTCTACAAATAGATTTATGCCTTAAACGTGAAATTGGTAGTTCTCATATTCTTTACCAGTCATGGCCTACGTATGACGATTCCATCCTCGCAGACGAGAATATCAATTTGCAGGTATTTACAGTATTTAGGAGATTGTCAGTGTAACTGAATATATAACATTGACAGAGTGAATTTTAAACGTAATAATTTATGTTAATTTGCTTAAGATCATCATTAATGGCAATCGAAAAGGAACTATTGCAATTCCAGCTACAGCTACTGAGAATGAAGAAGCGCTGCTACAATACGTAAAAGAAAGCAGAATTGGTCAGGAACTGCTTCGTGATAAAGTTATTAAAAAAATTTATATTGTCAAACATCGCAAACTTATAAGTTTCGTAACAGATGTATGATTTAGTGTATTGGTCTTGATTACAATAAAGTAGTTCACTGCCATAATCTTGTCTGTTGCATTAATATAAAAGTTTAGTATATTAGATTTTCTCGTTGTAAAATCTCCTGACTTTAACCGATACAAAAACTATAGGTTCAATCATATAGTCCGTTACATCAATAGCCTATAATAGTATTTCGTGTTAAACTATAATAATTAATTTGGCTATCTACAAGCATTGTGTAGAACATTTCTACGAAGCCGATATACAGCATTTAAATATGAATATCAAAGGGCATTACAAATGCATATTTTATATGAATATCTCGCAAATAATTGAATAAAGCAAATGAAAATACAAGTACTAGTCAGCCAGATAGAAGAAATTGGTGAATAGTTAATGCTATTTACATCCTATTCTCGGGCATTTCAGCAATGGATTGCTCAACACGAATAGTTGCATCGTCTGGACTTTGAGGTGGCCTACGCGGAGGTGGCCGAGAAGGCGATTCACCGATAGGATTACCGTATTTGTGTACTTCAATATCGCTGTGGATTGACGGTAAAGGCCTAGGCGATGGCTTAGGGACACTCATACTTTCATTGTTCCTGGTCGCCTCAACCGTAGGATTCGTAGAATTTTTATCGTTTATGCAATGATCATTCGAAGTCTTATTTAGAGTCTCAGCTGGCCCCCTCGGTGGTACCCGAGATGGAGGCTCGGAAATTTTGATTGGAGATCGAGATTCGCGGTCCGTAATCTTAATTGGTATCCATTTCTCACCAACAAAAGCAGCCTTGAAGATAATAATAAGGAAAAAAAATCTAAAGTAAATTTTACATCCGACTTTAGATCTTTTGCAAATATTATTATGAAATTGACTCACCGCTAGATAGATAAAACTGGAAAATAACAGCGACAAACCAGCCAACGTTGTCGTCAACAAGAAGATCGCAGGAATACTCATCCTAAGTTGGAATATAATAATTACGAATGGTTCATTCTCGACAGTAGTGGCTTAGCTTTTCCATAAATATAGAACAGTGGTTGTAGATTTAATTGCTAACGTATTACTGTTCATATTTTAGCAAAGTAAATCTACACCAGCATTAATAGGTTATCCGAAAACATTCAATTAAATACTGCAGCGAGACTAACTACTAACTATATATCTTAAGAAAATACAGATAGTTACCCCAAATGTAGTAGGAAACGTATATAATAGTTCGTTCCAATGGGTCCCAATACTTTAACAACAGGTACCAGAAAGTTTTGGTAGCTAGATTTCATGCATGCATTTTATATTAAAAAATTGTTTATTGTTATTGCCTTATAAATTCAGGCAATGTAATGCCTAATACTAAATAATATAGCATCATGTTTGTGAGGTAGAATCGTTATTTACGCGTAGCATTACAGTGCATCATATAATACATTACCTTCTTTCTATGGTTTTACCCTGTTTTCGCCTACTACGCGGATACTCAAGAAATAACACAATTACACCAGCGATTCTAAATTCACCGTTATGGAAAATCTAGTAAGATACTATATTTTTTTATATGGTACACTGCACTGTGTAAATGCAAATGAGTAGTAAATTTAGTAAGCAGTAACATTGACTACCAGAAAAATACCTGCACTTTGACAGGTCTATCAAATGGTAATACTATCTGTTAAATGAGCACATTATCGTAAACCGTCAGCAAAGCGACGGGAGTTTGTACTAGTACTGTAATGATTTAAACGCAATTAAAGCGATCATATTATTGCTGTACAAAAAAAGATACAATGAATACACTGCAAATCCTGTCTTCTGAAAGTCTCCAGCCAATCCTATGATTCCGCCTATTAGTAATACTATAGATAAGAATGTAAGTTCGCAAAATGCGGAGACATGTAAACATAAATTACTAGTTGATCTAGGTAACAACAAAACCGTAAAATCTACGTAGCTTCATTGAAACTTAGAATACTTTTTTAAGGTAAAAAAATACAGCTGTAAACATTTTTAAGGACTTTAATAGGCACATTAAAGTGACTACCATCGACAACTAACTTAATCTATATAATACCGGCAATAATTATCTACGTTATTAATCACAATCTCACATCGCATTTGATAAGATTGCCAAGGCAGACCACTACAATGGTCTGGCCTAAGGTATGATCGACACAGTAGTGAAATATTTATAGCAAATTAATATTTATTAAAGCCGTACCGCGTACAGTACGGTGGAAAATAACGCAGTAAAGTATCACTTACGAACTGAACTAGTCAAAGCTTGTTCGTTGGCCCACATTCCCCATTCTACAGTTGACGACTTTTTAGATATCATCTTCAGTTGCTATAACTAAATATTCTATATTTTGACGGTTTATGTCGCTATTTTGTATTTAAAACAGATCAATCTTCTCCAGAACACTGTTTTCTTTTGACTCCTTTACAGTACATGTACTGTGTGTACTGTACTGTACTGTACGTTTCACAAAGTCACTGTACAGTACTGTACAGTACATTATGTACCGTACTGTACTGTACTGTACTGTACATTGTACACTGTACAGTAAAACAAAAGTCAATTAATACCGTAATTTATAATTTATTTCCTAGTGCAGTACACTGTACTGTAGGTCTCTCTCGTTCGTTATACTGTAGTTCGCTTACTACAATACTGTATAAGTAATATGTAGTACGATTTTTATTGATTGATTTTTCGTGCATAGAATAGCGACATTAACAGTAAAATGATTCAAAAGTTTAAAATTTGCCTTTTTACACATAATGAGCTAGCACTAGTGCTCTGTAACTAGAACTGCAAAGAACAGGATATACTCAATGCACGGAGGTAAAATAATGTCATCTTCTCGCCAAGTAATAGCCGTTGCAATGTCCGGTGGAGTCGATTCAACTATTGCAGCATATTTATTGCGAAAACAAGGTGCTTAATGTAATATCAATTACAGTCATTGTTCAACGATGGTGCAGACATCTGCAGTAACGATACCTTAGCATTTCTAATATCTTAAAATCACTCTAGTACAATACTACTAATACGAATTATTGTACGCGTAAATGACAGAACGACATATTGCAAGATTGATGTCTGAGACAGGTACCCGAGTAACAAAATTTTGACAGGTTGCAAACCTTAGTTTCGATAGTAACGTTGGTTGATAAAATTATGTGAAACTATGTAGTGTAATTAAATATGTACTGCATATACGAATGATTTTAACAGTTTATAACTTCCAGCTATAGCCTTCACCTTCTAGCTATTTACTGTTCAATACAGTATTTGATTTTCGACAGTGAAGCTGATAAGTTACTAAATTATACAGTATGCAGTATATTAGATTTTAACAAGTCTTTTAATTTCTAACTAGTCATTATAGCACATAGGAGCTACCCCACTCAGATCAATAATTTTCTAAAATTTAAATTGCTTGATTGTTATAAAGCATGCTTTACTGTATAACAACCAACCAAATAGTTGGACGGTATTATTTTGTATATATAGATATAGAACTGTATAATAATTGTGATAAGAATATGATGGAATCTTTACTAGGGAACTTATGATAAATAGAAAGAACAGAATATAAGTATAATATATTAATTATCAGATATAACTTATGAGATCTTATTATTTAGGTCCTAGTTAATTTGTACTTTTAACTGCAACGAGAACTACAGCCTTAAGAGAAAATTCACGATTTTAATAATGACTATACAATGTGTACAAAGTGTATATTAATATCCCCGTGTTACAGCATATTATTCTCGCTTTATGTAACTCGTACTTTATTTGCGTTTAAAAAGGTCATGAGGTTGTCGGAATATTTATGAAGAATTGGGATATCACAGAAGAAACTGGCATTTGCAAGACAGATGAAGATATGCAAGATTTTATCAAATCTTGTAATCATCTTGGTATACCTCATAAAGAAGTAAACTTTGTACAGGATTACTGGCATCATGTTTTCAGGTCTGCTCAAAGTAATCTATACGTCAACTATTGCATATTTGTATATAGTTTTCTTGTAAATATGGACGCTACATTAATATGTTACCGGTTGATAAATTACATGCGATTTAAAACCAAACCATCTACAGGTGTAATCATAGCACAGTTCTTTAGTCCTTATCCTAAAATTTTCTACTATGAAAGAATTCTAAAAAGAAAATTCCGCATGAAATCCTCTGGCACGTAAACTACTTCCTACAATTTACTTAAAAATTTCTAGTACTGAGTACAATATACTATGAGCGGTATAACTCAAATGATAATACAGTATTAACATCTTAGTATCTAATTGTAAATAACTGCCGAACCTTATAATATTTATTGCAAAACTTGTATACAGAAATGAATGTTGATCTTATGTTCGCATTAAAATCTAGTGAGATTTATTTTAAGCAATTTAATCTATTTATATCGAACGATTAGTTGTTCTCTAGATCTTAATTACAAGCACAGATTTTAAGAATTTAAAAATATAATGTAACTTAAGTTAAGAGTTACTAATCAACACATCGATATTACGAGATTACATGCATTGAAAGTTATACTGACCAACTCAATACTAACGTTCCCAAAACAATTTAATGTTCTGAACTCCACCACAGCCCTTTTGTGAACGGCTACAAACAAGGCATCACGCCAAATCCAGACATTACTTGCAATAGAATGATCAAATTTAATAAATTACGTCAATATTGTAGCGAAAATTTGGGTGTAGACAATTTAGCAACTGGACATTATGCTCAATTAGTTACAGATTCCAGTGGACGTAAGTACAAGTATAATACCATGCATAAACTTTATCATAACAGTAATTACAAACCAGGTTGACAGGCATCATGTATTCGTATCTCTTGTAATGTACTGTGCAATACATTAATAGACTATTAAGATTCTTTCAATTAAAATCATTTAATTAGAACCAAAACTTATTCAGGCAGTAGATGAAGCTAAAGACCAAACATATTTCTTAGCGAACGTTAAAAAGGTAAAGGTTCACAAATCATTATTCCGTAACCTAACAATAACATACCCGTCGAATGCAGGTTAATCGGGCCCCCAAAAAAATCCGAAATTCCGTTCTCTGCTTAACATCATGTCCACGAAAATCTATTTTTTAGATAACGATATTTGCTAAACATAGATTTATTAAACTTAATCAGTTTCCATAACAGTATTCTTTTACTACTTTGAAAGATCTCATTAAAGAATATTATGTTTCCAATTGGAAATCTTTTGAAATCGGAGGTCAAAAACTTAGCTTTAAAAATTGGGCTCCGAAAAATTGCAACAAAAAAGGAGGTAGCGATTATGTTATACACGTATCTTTTGCTCTCTTACTCGTTGAACATCTAGCAGTATTAATTTAAGTTTCAATCACAGTACAAGCTTAAATGCAATAAATTCTATGAATTTAATTTTAGTAATAATTTAACATCATATATTTTATTTACCTACCATATGAGAGTATGGGAGTATGCTTTATTGGTAAAAGAAATTTTAAAACATTCATTAGCGAGGTACGTATCTCTTTATCAAGCATTTTTAGGACAACTATTAAACTTTACAGTGATGTTTCTTCGACCAATAATAACCCCTGCGATTTCTTTCTGGGCATATATCAATGTAATCATAGTACATCGAGAATCAGGAATATGACGTGAATACTATAGATGGTCAAAATTTTGGAAAACATTCAAGTATAGTAAATAAAATTTCGTATGCATGGGCATTATATGAATTAACAAATTATTTGACTTGAGGATAATTCGAATTGTACATAAAATATATCACATATTCCAACTTTAGTTACCTTATTATGCATGTAGACTTATCCCTATCAACAATTGGTGAAAGAGCAAGAATTGGTGGGATGTCTGAAAGATGGTACGTGGTTTCTAAAGATTCAAATAGGAAGGTTATAACGCTCGTAAGTGATAAACTGAACACCCATATACCTTCGATTACTCCCAGGACTTGCTTAGTATGACAATAGTATAGCCATAAAATTATACTTTTATACTACATTTTCTACAAAATTTTAGGCGCCAGGAATAAACCATCCAGCTCTATATTGTCGTATCTTTTATGTGGCAGATGCCAACTGGATCTCGTACTGTGCTGAAATGCAATTATCATTGAGGAAAGAACTAGAATGCCATATCAGAATTCGTCACTTAGCACCCCTCGGTAAGATGTGTCATCTACGTGTCATAATTCATCAGTTTATATTTTCAGATATTGAATTATAATTTTCTGAATTGCAGAATAATTTCACATAAATAATTTGTAATTACTAAAGTCGTTAACTGATATTTTCAGTTCCTTGCCTAATTAAATTACAATACAATGGCTTTTTGGAAGTAAATTCTCAACAATCACTATTTGCTGTCACTCCCGGCCAAGTAAGAATAATTCAGCTAGTAATCACAATAGCAACATTGCAGTACTATGCATTCGTTGCCACATCTCGATTTTTAACAAATATTATTTTTGCAAACATGTTATCAACTTCTCCGCGAATAATATATCTTATATAAAAAAGCAATTAGTCTATAATGCATTTACTGCATTAGAGATAAGTAATGCTGTCTTATAAAATTTCTATAAGTTTGCCGCATTCTATTCACGAAACGAATGCCTTGGTGGAGGACAAATAGTGTCGTCTCATACAATGGTAAGCAAAATCTAACAAATAAGGATGTAAGGTAAAGTTTTTGCTTTAATAATTGTCACATTGATCATATAACCATTTGCAAATTTCGACCTATCAAGACATATTCATATATAAAATAAAATAAATGTAGTTAATTGCGAGAAGATATCAGTGATAAATAACATTGTTACATAGCATCAGGGCGAATAATGTTAGGATGTACATGTAAATACAGTAGTGTATATCTTAGAAAGCCTAAATTAATGTGCAAACAACTTGTGTGCTTCCTTACTTGAAAAAAATTATAACTTCAAGCTTAAAAAGATCTCCAGTAAACAATCAAGGAAGCTAAAAAAAATTCTCCTTAATAGTCTTAATATAATGATTCCGCAAATAAATTTTAAAACTGTGATACCAATGAAGTAATAGTTTTCTCCTTATTATCTTATCATTTTCAGACATAGCACTTTCCTTTCTTATTATCGCTGGCAATTCTGACCAATCTTTTATGAAAATAAAAGGCGCCTTTAGCTTTTTCAACAAGCGAAATGGACTAGAACTTAAACTGCTGTCACAATTCCCTGGTGCAACAACATCCTCTATCACTGGAATAGAACCTAAAGAGCATGCCTCATAAATTCTGTACGTTTCACTATTAAACCCAATCGGACAGAGTGTTATATCACTTTGGCGTAAAACCTTTTGATATAAAAGCGAAGAGGCTTTAGTTTCCATAGATAGCCACCTAATGTCAAAGCAACAACAAATAAAGTTATTCAAGATTAAGCTTAAAAATGATCGTACATTGTTAGGTCATACCTTGGACGAAAGTTAGAATAACATATGTCACCAAGTGAATTCTTTAAGAAAATCTCTTGTAGCTTCTGTCTTGTCGAATTGTTATAAACTGTCCCTAAAAAGTTGCAGATATACCTTCTTTGGCTTGTTATATCTACTTCCATCGAACTAACAAGAGGAAATCCACGATACCTGTAGAATAGAAATGTACCTTAACCGATGTCGAAGTAGTAGTAACGGCATAATATTTAGAGAAACTGAGATCTACTAACGTCGCAACACCTAGGGGCCATTGATAGAATTTCTGTTGGTCTATTCTAGGATCATCATAAACGAGGTGGACAATCCTTACTTTGTAGCGATTGTCATTTACATATGGATCTATCCATTTATTGTCACACCTTTCGTTACCTAGCATTACCAGAGCAACATTTCGTAATTTCTTTAATGAAGGTAAATGCTCTAACCACGTCTTCGCAAATTTAATTTTGTCAGACGAACGCCCATTAAGAATCAGAATTACATTCTCTGAATCCTTGCCCGAATTCTGTTGTATAATTCCAGGGCCGGATAAAAACCTAGCGAAGGGACGATATAAGTGTATTTGCACGTCATCTATCCACAATATAAAATATCTTAACGTTAATCCCGATTTACAATGGGTATTCATGTTCACATACCGCATTTTAAAAATGGTGTTAAAAAATTTTTCATGTTTCTATGCGGTCACTCAACTACTTCCAAATGCATCTCAGTCAATAATTTGTACCATATACTACTTACGCCACGATTACAACGACCGGTTTAAATGAAGTTTACCGCGACCTTCGATAACTCATTTACCACATACGTATACTAACAGCCAAGAAAATATGCATACTAATACGAACTTAAGCTTAGCCCTCTTCAGTAATATGTTATTCTACATTGCAGTTCGAAATCATCGTTTTATAACACCAATGCAATATTTTACGAAGGAAGTCAAGAGACTACTCAGTAATATGTATTATACAAATCACGTTCATATAATATACAAAGTAACTTAAATCTTACTTAAATCCGACATCGTTGATAATATCAGTTCCAACTGAAACTGCTCCTCTTTCATCAATCTTGTTTATTATTGTTTCGTTAAAGACATGGCGCCATAGATATTCCCCTACGGGTACAAGGAATCATAAAAAATGAAGATATGCACCGCGCAATAGTCCTGAGATTATTGTACTGTACATTGCAAGCCAGGTATGATAATTAACCTGACTCGTTGTCACCGATGATACAAAGAAAGATTAACTTTGAAACTGTAGAACAGATAGAGTACCTTCTCCACATACTATGCTCTCTTTTACAAAAGTTTACAAACATACATCACTAACAATTGCAATTGATTAAGTACAGCAATGAATTAGATTAGAATTCATAAGTGATAAGTAAATTTATAGGCTGCTTCACTATTCTCTCTTTCCGATAGTGTAGCAAACTGTATAACGTGATAGTATGCCTATTATAATTTGGAAGTTATAGCTCCATGATTAAAGCAAACGACAGTGAAGTTAGAATCTATAAAACATTAATGTCTTGAAAATTTTACTGATAGACTTTCGAAGCTTACATTTTAGATCGTTTTAAAGAAAAATTGCGTTAGTAAGTAGCCTTCAAACATGAACAAGATCTTGTGAAAGCAATCCAGTAATGCTATTTAATAATTTAGAATCATTACTAAGTTATCGCTAGCCAATAGTCTTTAATTTATACTAAGCAACAGAACACATAAGCACAAATGATGGTCACAGGAAGTTAAGTTAACGAAAGAACTGCAGAACGCTATACTCCATTAATACAGTAGAATATCATGAGGTTGCCAAACAACAGTCGATCCGATACTTTTAATGTAATAACTATACCCGCACAGCCCCTACCAATTGCAGCTGTATTATGTGTACGTAGCAAGTCAAGTAAGAAGTATACAAGCAGTCACTGGGCTACACATACGTAATAGGAGATACATTTCACTAAATGCAAGTAAAAAATGTCGATAGCAAAGTTTTAGCAAACAATAGCTAATAAAAGGTTCTTAAATCAACTTTTAATAAACTCCTAATACAATATTAAAGTCTGAAGTTCGATTATTTTTCCAGAGGATTAGCACTTAAAAATCTCATTAATCATATTTTTAGTGCTGTATTATTATCCTATGCAAAAGCAAATGCTCCATTCCCAATTTCACTACGATTACCGTTCTCACAAGTATATGTTCTTGTATATACGTACAGTAATAATTATAATGATTCTGCTACATAGATATGAAATAAACATACAGTGCGTTACTGATCTATAATTTACTACTAAAAACTCTAACTTGTTATGTATTTCACTGCAAGCAAATAATATCTCTCTGTCTACTGTAATATTGATATATAATATAAAAATAAAACTAATGAGAATGAATCAGAATTCTTTGCCTCATGCTCTAGCTATTACTTTAATCGATTGCTATTACTGTACATCCTCATCAAAATGCATTATAGTACAAATAGTAATCATGGGAACGTAAACAAATCATGCAATAAAATTTTTCAATTATATAACTATTTCTGTTTTATTTAAGCATTGCACAGTTCCATCATGCATATTATAATGTTAGTACAGTTGAGATATAGTAGTCAAGATGACTAATATTCATACCTAAAGCTGAACTTAATTTAGAGACTCCAACATACTGTACGATACGTTTTACGATGTGCCCACCCATACAAACTCAGGTTACGAAAGGTAGCATGCTCTTAATAACAAACCTATAGCTGCTTTTCCCCAAATTTCTACACTTCTTAACGTCTTATTCGTTTTATCAAAGTTAGGTATAGTCTGTTTTCTCTTTAGTCTAATTTCGTGAATCATCTGTAATCCTATCAACGTAACATATTTAAATGAAGAATTTTACGCGTTAAGTCATCACTACATTTAGTGAATTATGCGATTTGAATCTTACTTATGCACACTGTAAAATTATATTATTGCAAAAGGATATAAAATATACTTATAATAAGTCCAGCACATATTCGATAAACTGCTAATATATTTTTTAGCGTACGCTATTCAGAATGCATAGTTGCAAATTTGACATTGTAATCAAAAAATGCAGCGAACGCGGTTGCAATTTACAGTACTTTCCAGTCTGTACTACGAACGTAAATCGTTGCACTACAGTTTCATACAGAATAGACATTAATTTTTTTGATAGAAACCGTTGTAGATATTTTTCGAGGTCAGGTTTATGAAATGATTAGGAATATGAAACTTCCTTAAATACACGAATTTACTGCAGTCACCATGGTCCAGGTTTAATTTATAATTATATATGAACAATTATAATCGATGTTACGTCATTTTCGCAGAAATTGCAGAGAAACCGTATATTAAACTATGCTGCAATAGTGCGCTCGCGTACCTAAACACACTTACTGATTTTATACAGAATTAAGTACGGCAAAGTGCTAGACCGGAGACACTTTAAATAAGTAGGCTTTATTTTACAGTTAAGTACTGTAATACAGTATCTATTTACTTTCTCTTAAATCCATGAATTGGATACCAGGTTCTCTATTTTGTAAAAAAGTGACTTGGGCCAAATAAAGGGATACTAAGGCACTCCCAGTTAGGATACATACTGTGATACTGCGGAGGTTACATATCATCCCGTTACTCAGATTTTGAAGAGTAGCATTTGAGGATCGTTCGAAGTGAAACGTTGTTTATCCAAGCTTTTTACTGCAGACTTCGTTCTGCTAGCCCACGGCGAGCCAGTCTCAAACTCAAGCACGGATGTATCGTTATTACAGTTTTTAAGTCTTTCTAATTTATTTTTTTTAGTTTATATTTACTGTACTGTATATTATATTTTTAAACTGTATTAGTACAGTACGAAGACTGCATGTACTGTACAGTGCAATAGTACAGTACTGTACCATACAGTACTGTAACAATACAGTACAGTACTGTACAGTACAGTGTTTTTCCGATGTGGTCTACTGTACTGTACTGTACGTACTGTACACTGTACAGTATTCAATCCAATAAACTAGCCAATCAGAGATTGGTATTTGTTACTGTTACTGTCTGTTAGTACTGTACAGTACTTGCATACTGTACAGTACAGTACTATGTAATACTGTTCTGGGAACTTTCGAGTTTTCCTCTTACTTATTAAAATGTCACTAGTCGTCATCTAACTTACAGTACCGTGTACTGTATCACCCGCTTTAGTGCGATTTGTCAAAGCGCGTACAGTACAGTACAGTGTACAGTATGATAAAATCAAGTATCGCAAATCATTCCAAAATCAGACTAATTTAAAATGTATGTATTTAGTGATGTAAGAGAATCGTGGCGTAAATGCTTAAGCAGAAATTTTAGCAAAATGTAAGCGATTCCTCAACCTCAAAACCTTATAAAAGGCGAAAGGATAACACTAGAGGGATGGAACAATGTCCATCTGTTTTATCAGTCACAGACGGCTCGTTTAGTACTAGTTCTGGGCCAAGGCTAATTTGGTGCATACTGTACTGTACTGTACTGTATGTACATGATATCTAACGTACAGTAAATAGTAGATATTATAAGATAAGTGAAGTACTGAGAACGGTACGACGTGAGCACGAATCTCGTGCTGGATAGTGCCTTCCAAAATTATCAGAGGTAGGGTGGGATATAAGATATACAGTATATGTATAATCTATCTAAATACTTAGATACCAAATAGTTATTCGTACACGGGGGCTGAGGTATTTGAAGGACCTTAACCATCATTATTAGGTTTGCAGTAATAAACTTATATAGCTTTTTATACCAGATGCTAGTAATGTCATCAATTTTATTTTGTGAGACTAGAGAACTAATGAGTTATAATATTGTATTTCAAAACCGATAACGCTTTCAATACTAACATACTAGTCTTCCTCAAAGTTTTGCGTACGTCTACACCTGTCAATAGTTCACTTCGAAAACTGTTTCAAACTACAATACGCATATTACAACTCCATTTATACAAAATACGAATAACTTTCATATACAATTTTATGTATAACAGAGTTAATTATTCGGCGCCAGACGACTTTAACAATACTGATATTACCAGTTAGGTTCATTAACAAATCCTTTTATTACAGAGTTATGTTTCGAACTACAATACGCATATTACAACTCCATTTATACAAAATACGAGTAGCATTCGTATACAAATTCATTTATAACAGAATTAATTATTCGGTGCCAGACGACCTTAACAATGCTGATATTACCAGTTACTTTCATTAATAAATTCCTTTATTATAGAGTTATTTGAATGCTATTCGGAAATAGGTGACTTTAATAATGCAGATAGCCACGTAAATAGTTCGCCACCAGTATAGATGTGACCTCGATTCGGATTAAAAAGGCTTTCTAAACCTGATATACAGGAAATATCAATATCACTTAACAACATATCTGATTCATTACTATAATAAGTTAATAGTCGAATGATTTCCAACTGGCACTGTTTTAACTGTGCTTTTATACTTTCTTGATTTGTAACAATTCCAGCCAATTGTTTAAGAGATCTTCGTCTTCTACCTGGAGAACTCTGTTGATCTGGAGATTTAGGGAGTTTTGATGAAATAATGGCTTCAACAGCATGCTTTAGCTCTATCAAGCCATTATGAATTACTACTACGTCTGAATATGGGATAACAATTTGACCACAATGTACATTTTTTGCTCCTTGAACAGGATCAGAAGCTGGAATAGATTTCATGTTAATTGCGTATAATAGAATAATGCATGGCTTATCCAGTACATTTGATTTATTTTCCAAATTTCCATTCAATTGATAATTTATTCGCTGTATTGGTGGTCTATACCATTGAAAACAAATTTCGTTATCGCTTGCTACGGATGCATTGCTTTCTCTTGTAACCAGATTAGATCCAGAAATAGTAAATTTAGAATCTGATGCTTCTTGTTTCACTGTTGCCGATAAAGACGTAGATGATGTAATAGATAATCCTTGCAGAAGTTGACCATTCGCAATAACAGACTTATTTTCCTTATTAAGTGACATCGATCCTGGAATTTTATAAGTGATGGCTGTTGTAATGCTATTATTTGATGGACTAGTAGGTGAAAGATCGAGCATCATTGGTGGATATACCGAACAGCAATTATCTTTATAAAGCATTAGCGTGTTTAGTAAGAATGTATGCATACTGGCAACTTTAGCAGCTGACTTGTTCAGGAATATTGGAGTTCGTATGACTGCAACTCTAATACGTGACTGTTCTCCAATGTAACTTAGATGTGAGTCATGAATATTAATACCAAGTTCCTCTTGGACTCCTAAATCGCTATCGGCGGGAATAGGTTGAGATTCAACAACGGTAACGGTAGATGCGTTAAAACATTCGCGCTGCAGACATGTATAATAAGTCAAAATTTGACTCCAATTAAGATAATTCGACTCATTATCGCATACTAAATCTCGGTTTAAAATTTTGTCTCCTAGAAGATCCAACAAAGCGAAATCAGGAATCGTTGCGTAAGCATCAACAGGGATTCGAGATGAAGATAAAGAACTTATGTTACTAGATAGACTGCTAAGGTAATGACGAGCACTGGCAGACAAACTCGCTGCACGAATAGAACTCCAAGCAGCATAAACTTCGGCACTTCTTTGTGTCTGCTTCTCCTGTTCTTCTTTCAGTTTTATGTCATTTTCTTTCTTCTGCTGCTTTATTCTAACGTCAGTCGACTCGCTTTGAGCTTTGGTGGGTAACTGATGTAATAAATTAGCAGCACGTATTTGATCGCGAGTCAGTTTTCCTCTGCCTTTTGTTCTAATTCCGTAACGTGTGTCTTTTTGATGAGTTGATTGGGATTGCGCAGAAATTCTATCAGTATCTGCATATATGCTCGTTAGCGGTTGACCCTTATCTGTCAATGTGCCTGCAACGTTTGATTGAGCGAGCTCTGCATTATCCGAATTTTCAAATTCTTCACCTAGTTCATCGTCTGTACGTTTTAAGTAGACTAAAGCCATCTCTAGGTATGCTTGGCGTATAAGAGTGTGATCGTGATTAGCCATATAACTAACTTTTATTGCATCGACAAATGTAGAAGCTACAATCTGTCCATCCATCTTATGTAAATTATACAGTTGTCGTTGTACTTGACCAAGAGATAACAGTATCTCAGCTTCAACATTTGGAGTTCTATGAGTGCATACTCTTAATATTTCAAGGGCAGTTGTCAAAATACTAGCAACAGGCAGCCAAGCATTGTATGATGGCTTAATATCTTTTTCCATTGCTTCAACAGCAACAATCTGGGCCATGATATGACCGATTCTAAGCTTAATTTGAGCTAAGTGTAGTAACTGAGGGAGGTAAATGTTAGGTAACGGTGAGAAAGGCGAGGAAAAATGAGATTCGGTTTTATGCCTATGTATTGGAATACCAAGATTCATTAACTGATTTAGTAGTATCTCGTGAACAACTTGGTACTCCTTAAAACGCGCTTTTAAGTTATTTAACGTGTAATAATTCTTTTGCATACCAGATAAATCCGTTTGTTGAGCAAGAGCCAATGTATAAAATAATTGGGTGTTAATAGACGTATCTTGAAGATTCTGAGCAACTTTTATAACGTCCTCTAGCTCTTGCTGAATTAATTTACTATCTTTCCCTTGCTTTAAATCAAATATTATGCCCTGTGTCGCAAATTGAATAGCAGCTTCATGTTCGTTAAAGGCTTGAGCCTCAGTAATTCCTTCTTCAATGTGATATTTGCAATCGCCAAATAATTGATCTACACTGTTTTTATTGTAGGTACCGAACGATTCATTAAGTGCTACAACAAGGCATAGGCGACACTTCAACCACAGCCTCATATCAAGGTGAGACATTCTAAAGTAATCCTCAAAACTTTTCCTAGCTCGATTCGACTTTGCGTACATACCAGAAGAAAGTGAAGAGTACACTTGACTACCTCCGTAGTCCTCATCACTTAAAATAACAGATTCTTGTATCAGTTTTAAGCAATCAAATGTCAACTGTGCACTGACTAATGACTGATTCCTTAAAAGGGCAATATCGGCAAATAAAAGATAAACCTGCGTTAAAGCATCCAGTTCAAGGGCACTAAGATTTTTTAATACTAGACTAATTTCAATATTATTGACATTTAATTCTGATTTTAACGCTTGCTTGGCTGATTCCATTACCTCTTCGTAAATCTGCACTAGTAATTTCTCTGCATTTCTTACAATATTATGTCGAATTATTTCAAGCTTCGGAATAGGCCCATGTTTAGTATCTGTATTAGTTTTAGACGTTTTAACGGCTAAGCTGTTTGAACGAGCTTTGTTGAGGGGTACCTTGTGGAGAATTTCATCTTGCTTTCTAAACAATACTGATTGAATATTTCGTGTAAAAGCTACGGCAGAGGATTTAAATAACGATGATTGCCGTCTATGTTTCGTTTTCGACTCACGACCAGAAATATAAAAATCTGAATCACCTGACGAATGCTGTGCTGGTATAACAGTTATAGATTTTGCAATACCAACGGCTAAATGGGCTTGAGCCAAACGCAATTTATTGGTTAAGTAAGTTCCATATAAAGTTGATAAACCACTTGATATCGGTTTTTCAAGTAACTGAGAGATAATTTTATAATTCTTTTCGTCCGTTAACGGTCTTGCACTAACAAATCGCAAAAGAGTAGCGGTTGACTCCGGCTGCCTAAAATGACTGTCTTCTATTTTCGGGACTTTTTCGCCATTCAGCGTTTGCCCTAATACTAGTAACGCCTCGGTGTAGTAGCCAAGATCTGTTAATGCTATTATGCGAAGTATCCTTGCCTCAACCGCGGCTTTAGCATCACGACAGATGTAAGTTGCTAAGTACTGATACAGTATCAGCACTGGAAAAGCTCTTAATTGATAATTTGATCTAGTTAACTCATAAGCAACATATCGCAAGGCTCCAAGAAGTGAGCTTCCATCGCAGCGAAAATAGTCAGAGAAAAGATCGATACCTGATAATAGTTCAGGCGAAATATGATCTCCAATCTCATAAAACGCGTAGTCAGTGTCAGCAGACGGATGAGGAAGTGAAGTTGCAAATAAACCTTTGAATAAAGTTGCTGCTAACAGGCAACAGTCAAGACGTATACCAAGATCGGTGGAATGAATAAATTGTGCAATATCAGCTGCGATGATACCGACTTTAAGGCATCCCCATATTCCACAGCGATCCAATGCAATATAATGATGTCTTGACTCTGCTTTATCTCGAAATATACCACGCCAGTTGGCTAAAGCATCAGGCTTTTTTAACAAGGCATCAAGAGACCCTGACCACCATTTCAAGGCCATTTTTATATCACCTGCATGAAACATTAAATTGCCTAATTCTTGCATCATTTGCGCAATTAGGCCATTATCTTTTTGATGCTGTAGGAGTTCAATAGTTTTTTGATAAGCAGATAAAACAACATTAAATTGTGTCTCCTTCAAGGGAACACAATGCAGACTAGGCATACTCTTAAATTTTTCGTTGTAAATGTCTTTGGGAGAATCAATTACTTGTTCTTGATCATGAAATGTATTTTCTGATCCATCTGAATAGGGAGTGTTGTGACCATTTCTTGATCGTATTCTACCAGCTACATATCGAAGTAATAATTGGCGACAATGTTGCACGCATCTTGCTGTGTAGCTAGCGCTATTAAGATATTGTCGTAATACTCCTAAACTCCTCCCTACGTCAAGTGAAATATTAGTAACTTTGAGCGCATCATTACTATTCTCGTAAACGTTTATACGATCAAACGTCATATCGGATGATCTCGTTGGAGGTGTTGACTGATTTACAGTATTAGAATTTACATTTTTAGAAGAATTATACATTGTTTTTATTGTCGTACGATAAGAATCAGGTAACTGGCCATGATTAGCTAATATTCGAGCCGCAATTCTTCGCTGTGCAACAACTTGGAGAGGAACGATAATGTTGGCGTACTTGTTTCCTGTTATATTGTTAAATCTTATACATAAATCAGCTAAGTGTTCCCATCGACCCTCCAGGTATATGTGCTGTATGCTAGTTAATATCACCTTCGAAACCCACCTCAAATCTAATTTTGTTCCATCATCGAGGGGGCTCTCGAAAAAAAGACCTGAGCCACCCGTTTCGTTTTTAAGTTCTCCAAAATACCCAGTTAAATGATCAGTATCAACTATATCCAGTCTCATCATACGCCGGCTAGATAATTCTTTTTCTTCGCCTTGAATCTGCTCTATCATATCAAGAATATTATCGGCAAGTCGGTAACAGTGCCGCCAGAGAATATTTCTAACACTATCAAAGTGCAATGGTGTGGAACCATTAGGTAACTCAGGAGAAAATTCATTTCCGTATACACAGTAGTACGCTAAACAATGCTGATATATACTATTAATGCAATTCCACATTGAACGAGCTGCATTTTGCAATAGTATCCAATGCCTACCACGGTGTGCTAGAGTGATTGCTCGTGAAAAACACGTAAAAATTTTTTTTACTAGATCCAATGATTGTTGAGTGTACATCTCATTCTCTGCTTCATCGACAATTCTTTGACCTCGTTGATATTTCTTAGCTATAGGCGCAGAATTAGTAACTTCAGAGCGCCCATTCAGATTTTTCTCCGGAGAGGGCTGTAAGTTGTTGATAATTTCTGGTTCTCGAGTTGCAGCTACAGTTGCTGGTCGATCGTCATGCTTATCGCTTTTATCTGTGTTATCATCAGAATTGACTTCGTGATCATTCTCATCAATAAACCATCGGAGAGGGTTACCGTCCCATTCTATTAAGACCTTTCCAATGTTAAGCAAACCTAACCAATCGTAATCAATGATGTTATTTAAGAGTGCGAAATCGAAGTCAGTTAATTTTCGCCATGCTTCCAATCGATTTATCAAAATAGTAAAATTACATAAACCCAATTGTATATTTAGCTGGCTTCTCCAAGCCATTTCCTCACTGCTAACTTGTCGCAACCGTCGACGGCGGCACGCAGCACGCCAAAAATCTGGCAAGATATTTTTTAAAATTTGAATTGCAGCCATTTCATCATCATTCCTTTCTCGTCTCTCCTTAGTTCTGCTTGTGCTTCTCTCATGTCGCCTTAAATGACTCGGTCGCACGGCTGTGCGACCATAGTAGTCATTTTGTTGACGCGCAGAATCAGGTTTGTCGTCTACAAAATTACTTCGTAAATATTTCTGTGAAATTGTTGAATCTTGCTGTTGATGATGTGAATATTCGATAACTGCTGCACCATACCGTTTGCTATCCTCATTTCCACCACCCGCATTTTGACGTAAAACATTTGTATTTTTTACAAGTATCATTTCATTGCGCCTTTGAAGCCAATGAAATGTTTCCGTTGACCATTCAAGTATAAGCTCCGCATGGCCTTCTTGCGATGCTTTGACCACAATATGCACAAAAAATTCAAGAAACCGAGCACGACGACGAAACTTGGTTACTTCACGATAAGCCAACGGAGCAGGTAAATTTTGTATATACGCGTATAAAACTGATTCATCTTCTGCACCTGTCAATTCTTCGCGCCCGTGCATTTTTGAGCTGTTCATATGTACCATAAGAGCTTCTAGAGCTTTCAGTTCATCATTAGGTTTTTCGTTCGGATATGGATCACTTTCTTTTTCTTTACCGCTTCGTTGCTTTTTCTTTTTCTTTTTTGACTTATATAGGGTATTGTGAGATAATGATCCACCTGCTGGATAAAGTGTCCTACCATCAACCACTTTAGAAAGTGACGCAATCGATTTATTATCAATTATCTGCGAAGCAGTTGCGACATTGGCAGATTCATTCAAATTAATGGTTTCTTCATGATCATTATCGGTTGGCTGGGTTTCCGGTGTGCTATCAATTGATAATAGTTTCTTCGTCGCCTCATTAATAGAATCAGCTAACTTTTTTTGTCTAGTTACGCGTAAACATAGGGCAACAAAATAATCAATACTGGCTACCATACGATGTAGTGAATCGGTCGTAGTGGGATTGCGCCTTCGAAATGTCGCCGGTGGCAACTCGTGCATAACACAGTGGCACCTTAAAAGAATACGAATTACTGCAAATGATGGGACTTGCAGCTGTATAAATGGTGCTAATAGCCCATAGCATTGAACCAACACTTGTATCATCAAAATAGAATCATTCAACCATCCTGCAATCTCAAATGCAATTACCATGTGTTCGCATTCACGTGTCCGGGCTATTTGCCCTGGATACAGTGGTCCGTCATCGCACAATGTGTTGCAATATAACGACTTTTCACGAATATGACAATCCGAGTCAATAAAAATGGTTTGAAAGAACTGACGTAAAAGAATATGCGAACAATTTATAACTTTTAACTTTTTAAGCCGTCGTAGTCTTACAACAACTTCTTCACTAATTCGCTCTATGTAGAATTGAGAAGGTTTCGTTGGTATATCTTCAACAAAGTTCTCCCATAATATAGTAGCACATGATTTAGCAATCGCATATGCCCCGACTTGATAAGCCACCTGACAAAGGAGAGCATAGCCCATCATTACTTGCGCGGGACTAGAGGCAACAATCGGACGGGTAGAGATGCCAACGTTATTGCCAATTAGAGTGCCATCAATAGTGTAAGCCGCAAATGCAAAAGTATAGCGATCGTTAGGTGTTAGATCGGTAACCTGAATTTCACATGAATTTTTATCAGCTGGGATTAAGATGCCCGTACCGGACAATTGATAATCGCCCAATCGTGCTTTAACATTGCTTCCGCTGGCATTCCGACCAAATAAGCAGTAATAAGCGATTTTACTGCCATCAGATGGAACAAATGGTGCAGGTTTGAATATCATGGTTTGACCAGACCGATGAAGTAGCTGAGGTGTAGGTGGAACTGTGCCTTCGACAGTTTTTTCTTGGTACTTAGAACTTATCACCGTATTTGCTTCATTTTTCTGTAATTGAGATAACAATTCGTAACTGTGTTCCAAGGTCTGACGTTCATACTCACTAAGGGTAGCACCCGTTTCATGATTAAGCCCAACAAGCTGCATCAGGAATAAAGCTTTGGTAAAAGTGTTGCTACCATATTTTTTCTTAATGTCTTCTTCTGAATATGACGGCATGTTAATCTCTTCTTTAACCGGCGTTGTATTGCAAGGACGGCGAATCTTAGCTTTTGTCTTTCTCGTTACATCTATCTGTATTCTAGATAATTTTAAGAGGATACGCAACAGAACGAAAGAAATTTCCGCTTGCAATGATAATATTGTGTCATATTGTGTTGCAGTCTTGTCCAGAGGAGGAGCGTTGTCCTTTGAACTGTGAAGGGTATTTTTATTTTTGTTTCCATTAATTACATGAGATTCTTTTTCATTATGCTGTCGCTTAGCCTCATTGCCGTTATCTGACATCCGACTTGCGGCTGCAATGTAAGTATCTGCTGATTTATCTATTTCTTGCAATACATTTTCCAAAACATTTCCAGCTTTTATCAAGCAGTAATATGCACTTGTAGGATCGAAGCTTAAAGGGTACGAGGAAACATCGTCTAATAAATTACTCAGTTCTGTTACTGATTCTCGGTTAGCTTCGTTTTCTATATCTGCATCTTCAACAACTAGGGTAGGTTTGATAGGATTTCGAATCATGCTGCCTTCAAACTGCACACTATTTTCATATTTATTTTGACTTCCCCTTATAAAACTGTCATTATGGCGATTACTTAATGCAGAACTGCTACCAAGATTTTCACGATCTGTACGGATGTCGCCGTTGTAACTAATTTTACTGCTCTTGTTAGCTTCCCTTAGTGTTACAGTAGGTGCTGTATTAGAATTGACTCTTATATTACCAAGTGCAGCACTACTTGAAGTCTGATATCCTGTAGTAGATCGATCACTATTTTTCCCTGAAGTGATTACGGTTTGATAACCTACAACCATACCGGCAGAAGGCATTTCGGCCACGCACTCTAGAAGCAATGCTAAGCGCAAAGCTGTTTCACCCGCACCTATTGGATCTATTAGAGTGGCATTGCTGACGTTCATAATTCGATTAGAAACTTCTAGTAGTCGAATCCACTGCATTTATATGGCCATAATAATGAATAAACAGAAAAATGCAATAAACTAAAGTGGTGTACATTGAATATAAATGTAATTTAAATATCCGTAAATATTTTATAGCGACTAACCTTGATAGAATTATCATCGTTAATTATATGACGACAATTATCATACGTAGGAGAAACCACACGGTTGAAATGAGACTTACAGTGAGATCGCAGCATTAGCGCTGCATCTGCAATCACCTCAGAGTCATGTATTTTTAACGCTTCCTAAAGTAAAATAAATAAACATACGATATTTATGCTACCTGTATGTGTTTTCGTCACCCTAAGGACAGTGCCTGTTTTACCTGATAGGGTATCTCTAAACAGCTTTCGATAACATCTGCAAATCTCAAAAGATCATCTAAAAGACAGGAATGTTTATTGGGTGGAATACCTGAAATAAAGATTATTTATATAGGAAACTTTGAAAAGATTCTGAAAAGGCGTACAGTAAATATTAAAATAGTTTCAGTAACAATAAGTAATAATCATATAGTAATGCACGTATCTTTAACCATGAATTGAACAAGATACGTCATGTACTCAGGTCCTGGAAATGTTTTTTAATACTGTACTGTAAATGCATTTTCGGATTGGTTATTTATTTACTGTTAATACCGCTAATGGATCGATCTTGCTTCGCATCTTGATCATTGAGAGCCTCAAAAGGCATCGTACCCTCTTCTTGATTAGCCGAATTTTCAGCTTTAGCCGTATGTGTCTGACTGAAAATTATATTTCTGTATGATATCATTAACTGTAAAATTTTATAATCTGCAAGGCTGTGATAATCTTTTCGATCCTAAGAGTATAAATAATATAAAGACATCTTAGTGTGACAGGTTATTTCTACAAATAATGAAAATCTCATGTTGCTGTAGATTTTGTGACGAATATACGCCTAATCACCTTAAGGAAGGAAAGAATTGGGTCACAAAGAGTATTAAACGTGTCCCAGTGTTCAAAAGAGAAGGCCGCCTTGACAAACCTCGTAGCCGCAATTAATGTCACTCCGTTACCACCTTTAAATCCATGTTTAATTAGAATAGAAATGAATTATCAAGATTAAAAATCCTGAAAGATCACATACCTTTTATTGCTAAATCTATCTGAGAGACTCTCCTTGAATCATCTTTATGATCAATAACGTTGATATTGATGGCTACTCTATCCCTACTGTGGTACAGAAGTTCTAATCCAGCATAGAATAATTCATTGTATACTTCGAATTCGTCAGCATCGAATGAGACAGATCCAATATGCAAAGTACGTCGATGAGAATGGTATTGTAAACCTTCCAAAACAGCAAGAAAATGAGCGGAGCTGCCGATAAATGTGTCATTAATTAATCTTTCCGTCAAGGTTCTTGGCCAGGCCTGGTTCTTAATGTCGGACAAATTTTGTTTCAACCGTGGCCTGAGTTGACCTTTAGATTTTCTACGTGAATCAATACATATCCGACGAAATATCATTAAATTCATTTTCATTAAGGCCTCCTTAAAGATTTGATCATTGCTGATAGAAACTCCCAACGCGCTCATCTGTTCTAATTGTATTAAATCATTTATTTTACTAATTCCCCGCTTCGCGAACAATTCTGCGTTATGATGTAATTTAAGGTATCTCGAATAGCAGAGACTAAATGCCATTTGGTATTGCTGATAATAATGAAAGAACCAAAGTTGAACTATTATTAACGACTTTAAAACCAATCAAAACTGCATCATGTCTTATACTATATATACATTATCATATGAAAATATTAACGGTTCAGTTGAAAAGTAGAACCAGTTACGCCTATTTACCTTTTCTTTTAGTAGGAAATCACCAACGTCAAGCAATCTTTCGTAAAAAAGGTTACGCGGTAGTCGATTTTCATAATTATTCCATATTTTGAATAGTGCAGAATATCTATATGATTGTTTGTAGTAACATATATACTGAGTGAATTTATATGTAAATATAACGTAAACCCTTATATTAATAAGTATCAGCTTAATACTAATCGGTACAGATACAGCATAAGTATTCTCGTATAATGATAGTAAAGGAAACAGCAAGCGAAGAAAAGAAAAGAATCTCAACTCCGAAAAACAGTATCGTACTTCAGTATACAATGTTCCAAAGTAGGTTTTATAGTAATTAGATAAGAGTACATAATATTGTATTTTATATATATTTAATAACGGTATTCAACGAAAATTTGACCAGAATTACTGATTTTAATGACTCTACAATGTTACAGTGAAATTATAACAAATTTAATAACGAAATAACCTTCTGGATTGTATATTGTTGGCTTGCTTAGTTATCGAATCATCGTAAGTTGTTGGACGAAAAAATTTAAGAAAACATTCAAGCTCCTGTTCGAAAGCCAATAGCACCGGATTATGATTACTCACGTCACCATAAAATGCAGCATTTTGCAGCTTAGCTTTTTTTATAGCAATTTTAGTTGCATGAACTGCCATATTTATCGCCTAAATTTGCATACAATTTTCGCGTATGTATGCGATCAAGTCGTATTATAACTAAATTCCTAGCGTATATTAATACTTTTGACTAGAAGTCTATAACGGAATCAATTTACATAGTCGACGAAGGACTGAAACGTAATGACAACAATAATAAGCCCAAGTTACTAGAGCTGAAGCAGGAAACGGTCATACTGACTGTAGGAAGAGCAGTGTAGCAGCGACTTGCTAAGGTTACCATAGTAACGCCTTGATAGCAATCATGAGCGGATAAGCTCATGCAGTTAGCTATTACCGTTCATAGACTACTAGGTGTATCAAAGTGACTTTGTTAGTCCCAGGTCTGTATAGCTATATAACTTACCGTTACTATGGTACATTATTTACGTATTATGACTGATTTTACAGTACTGTATACAGTATATGACTGTACCAAAGTCTTTTTTTTTTAAGAACTTTTACTTTTAAATAAATTCTAAAATCAGAATTTCACACTGACTTCATTAAAACGTACATAAATACGTACGTAGTACAGTATGCTTAATAAAGCCAATACGTTGGCAGGACAAGATTTCCTCTCCCATTTATGGAACGGTAAATTGATAGGTATCACCGTATTTACAATCAATGCCCACATTTGTTTGCAATCAGCTCGAAATAGCAAGTGCTGTTCTTGTATAGTACTGTATGCAACTGGCACGTCACCATGCAGTTATTTATAAACTTCCTGTTATTCGCGATGCAGTTTGGGATGTACCCCTAAATATGATTTCAAATATATTCGGAGAGAACGGAGGTAAAGTAGAATAAAATTCCTATAAGAGTACGGCGAGAACATACGGTATAGTGCCGTTTATTTTTATTTTATTTTTGTCAAGGCTAAGTATACAGGTATTTGCTAAGACTTCTGTAAGTAATGATTACCATTTATGACTAGATTTCATCTTCCGAACTTCGTTATGTAAGATATCACCTGCTATTTATAGTATGACTAGTACTCTGATACATCATATACGTGCATGCACGTTTAGAGTAGAAGTCTTTTTCTGCCATTCAGCGACAGGTGTGGCCTGCTTTATGCACTTCCCGCTATATTAGCAAGAAATCCTTAGTCTTAAAGTTTGACTACTTTGCAATGCGGAGTGCGCTAGTGTGATATTATAAAGGTTGCAATATCAACATACCATTGGTGATAAATTATACATAACTAGTGCAAACTCCCGTCGCTTTACTGACGGTTTACGATAATGTGCTCATTTAACAGAGGTTCAGTAACTTTATACCGTACCGTGTAGACCTGTCAGAGGTTCAGGAACTTCATATCGTGTACTGTGTACAGTACTGTACTACTGTACACTGGACTAAACAGATTAGAAATTCCGTCTCGTTTTTCAGTCATGACAGCGACTTAGATACCAGGGACTACTAAAAAGAGAAGGGCAGCAAATGACCGTTCATTGATAAATATGAGGGTCAGTTTTTTTTGCTGGTTATTTTCTTATAGTAGCACATGAATGTAGCCAATCAACTCAAGGCTCACTTGCAAACGCAGAAACAAATAGACTTGTAGCAATGCTTTACAGTACACGGTATCAAATTTTTACTCTGAAATCCGAAATTCTTTCACACGCCCAATTCTATCTCCAATCCGAAATCTATTTAACGCAATTTATAAGTCCGACTCTGTCACGTTCTGTAATAGTTACATAATTAGTATGTTACCTTCTTTCTATATATGGTTAAATATCACGATGTTATTATCACGTCATGCGTATATAGATGTAGTTATGGTACTATATTAAGCTTATCTATATATGTATTCTCATGTTGCCATACTCGGTATGATATCCTATTTATAATATCTAAACTAGGGAAACCTTTCTCTTAGTGATGATCTTGTGATCTACGCCAGTAGATCAAAGGTCACAATAAAGAAAGTATATAAACTCATTATTTTAACAATAAAGTTAGTTCTTCAACTTAATTACTGGGTCTCCTTGCTGAGTGCAGATCTAGTACTTGTTACAAAATTTGGAAGTTGTAACAGACTCTAATATATGGTTATACAGAATTGTAATCAACAGTAACATCTGACTCGTATACTTTATACTTTCATAGTATTTTCGTACTGTTCATACTATGAGAGTATAAATTGACGCTACGCAATTTTCATTACATAATACGCGTAAATTATTACCTACTGCTTCGTCGCCGATAAATTTCAATTAATAATTATAGTGGAAAGTAAATGAAAATTAGTTATCTAACCCTAATCAAGTAGTTGCTTTTCTACCTACTGTAGTTATAGAGAAGACATCAGTAACAGTAGCAGCTGCACATTGCCTACTACTTTGCTACAATCTTGGCTTAAAGTCTATAAAAACTGTTGGAGACGGATATTACCGTTAATTCCGTTACTTCAGGCGACGATTTCAGTGCTCCACGGTTCACAATTCACAATTCATAATATAATTCACTTTAAATAAATTAAATTACATCATTTTTCGCTCATCAGTTACAGTCAATCGATTCATGGGCTTCTACAGTACAGTACAGTGTACACTGTAGTACAGGTTCTCGGGCGTACAGTACAGTACAGTACAGTACTGTATACTGTACTGTACAGTACTCTACAGTAGTGTACTGTAAAATTCTGCACTGTACTGTAGAATTTGCACTCTACTGCTGTACAGTGTACAGTGTACAGTTTGTACTGTGTTTACAATACATTGTACTGTGTGTCGAAATTCTTTTTTCACAACTCTCTACAGATTCTGCTCTGTAAAGTTGTTGCTTTTGGGCCACCGCAGTAGTGTAATGTACAGTACGTACAGTACTGTACTGTACTGTGCGGTGTGCACTCACTAGTACTGTACTGTACTGTACTGTACTGTATAGTACTGTACTGTAGGGTACTCAAAGTTTTTATACTGTACTGTACACTATTGTACTGTACTGTACACGTAGTCCCCGTACAGTACTGTACACTGTACAGTACCGTAAAATACTGTTTTTACTCTATTCCTGTATAATAATATAATATAGTCAGTTCGTAATAAGTTACCTTTTCTTGCGCTTTCACGTCGGTTGCGGCCTAGAAGTCATCTGCGAAGGATAACAAAACCGAGTTATAAATTTACGGAGAAGTTAGAATTGTTTGATGTTAATTAGTATGCGTTGTGTTATAGAAACTATATTACTGTATTCTAATCGGATCACAATTAAAAAATCTGCTGAAATAGCTTATGTTGGTCTGATTTGTATTTCAAATTTTTTACTTCAGATTATCAATTTACTTAATACTGCAGCGAAATGGGACTAACACTATCAAGCCTATTTACTCGATTGTTTGGAAATAAGCAAATGAGAATCTTAATGGGTTAGTTTTTACCACGATTTCAAAATATTTATTTGAAAACTTAACAGACTATAACGCGTTCTGGTGTAATAAGCTTAAAGACGTCAGTATTCCTTTTATTCGAAACTATACAGAGCGTCAATCATCGCCAAAAGAATCGTATTACCTTAGCATAAATTCTATCTTGATTGCAGTACTGTATTATCTACACAGCAACTTACGGTGTTAGCGTTCGTAAATATAAACTTTATATCTTACAATAAGAGTCTAGTAATTTTTCACGGCCTGAAATAGTAGAAAACTGAAAATTCTAAGCTACATATAAGATGCTGTAAGAATTAATAATTAGTGCGCGTGTGTATTAGTGTACTGACTCCGGATATATTATATTTTCGCAGTTGGTTTGGACGCAGCTGGCAAGACAACGATATTATACAAGCTAAAACTTGGAGAAGTGGTCACTACAATACCTACAATCGGTATAAACCGGATCATAAACGTACAGTAGAACAATTACCTCGCTTGGCAAAGTGTCAAGGAAATCTTGATTTACCTGATATTTACATTACCGTAACAAGCTTTAATTCTAAAGTGCAAATGTAAATGTAACATGATAGTTTACGCAATAGAAGTATCTGATCTTTTGTAAATTATACAGTGCAATAATTACTGCCAGTCCAGTAAGATTTTACTGTTTACCTTAACCTCTTAATTCTTACGACAATACGTAAATCCTATGTTCTTTGTTATAGCTACAGTACTTTACTATAATATTCTGATGGCGTAACAATGTTGCGTGCCCTCTGTGTCACGAGGTCTTAACTGTTGTAAATACATAGTTATATCAGTGAATACTAATACTTATCTAACTCACACTCCATTGCAGACATCATAATACTTTTTCTTTAAAATAAATGGAAACTTCATGTAGGATTTAATGTTGAGACGGTAGAATATAAAAACATAAGTTTTACAGTGTGGGATGTCGGTGGTCAGGACAAAATAAGACCTCTATGGAGACATTATTTTCAGAATACGCAGGTAAAAATAAAGTTGCAATGCTACAATTTCTTTAGCGACCTAGTGGAATTTTATTTACATTTTACGAACGTATATTAGCTAATTTACATTTTGGGTGTACTCTATGTTATAACGCACCATATAAATTTTACGACTTTGTATGATATACTTTGAAACCTTCCATACATAACTAAAGTAAAAGTGTCTATATTTAAGGCCTCTGATATATTTTTTATTGCTACATTTTAATGATGTCAATATATATCTTGATACTTTTCTGGCGTGCATGCTTTCCTCGGACGGACCGATATTTTCGTTTTCTAGGGGTTGATTTTCGTTGTCGATAGCAACGATAGCGAAAGACTACACGAAGCACGCGATGAGTTATCAAGAATGGTAATGTTATAGCGCATATCGATATATCTATATATCAGGTCTTATATAAACTCTATTATTTTCCGATGATTCCCAGCTCTCCGAAGACGAGCTTCGTGACGCGGTTCTCCTTGTTTTTGCTAATAAGCAAGACCTTCCTAATGCCTTGAATATTAGTGATATGAAAGATAAGCTTGGATTGAATGAGATTCGCTCCAGAAAGGTACTCTTTAACAACTATGAAGTCATTATGAGCTATCAAAGTTTAGAAAACGGAGACTGTAGCTCTCTATAATATATTTTCATTGTAGTGGTTTATCCAAGCAACGTGCGGTACACAAGGAACAGGCTTGTACGAAGGTCTAGACTGGTTATCGAACGAACTATCAACAATGAACTGATATGCAAAATTATTGGCTACACTAATTATTTCTTACTTTGTGAATAAAACACTAAATAAATCTCTAATTTCCCCTTTGCACTATTCATTCTGTAAATCGTACTTAAAAATAGCACTCAAAATAAATAAATAATAGAAATACTATCTAGTCCTTTTACATGCGAATGGCAGATTCGAATTTTAATTATTATTACCATCTCAATATAAATTACGGGCTACAATCAACAAATGAAAGGAGAATTGATACATGCTAGAATCATGATCTGTATATGATTTCGATTAGGTGCGTAAAGCACTAAGATTCCGAGGGTCGTTACCAGGATACGAAACGTAACCATTATTTACTGGCCAATTAAACTATTACAGAAATTTTGGGATTACTCCACTAAATCCAGAAATTGAAGTAACAAAATACAGCATAATTACCATTTCATGCAATTCGTAATATGCATGACGTATGTATTTCCGAAAGAAGCTTTCCTGCGTTGATACCCTTTTATTTACTTTACTGACAAAAATGAGCCGAGAATGGAACTGTTAACAGTCCAAACTAGAAATTTAAAATTTGAGCACTGGTGAACTGGAAATAGTTTAAATCCTAATATTCATATGCTGAATTTAAATCGATGTAAGATGCAATTTTGATTACCTTTACACAATGATATAGCTCTACGTAGGTATTGTACAAGTACAGGAGAAAGATAACGAAAGACAAATTAATTATTTGGAAGATTAACTGCTATTATATACTCACCCCTTAACTTAATTTGCTACATGGGCTAACTTATATCATTATGTTATGTTACTAGGTTAAATGTGCTTAACTATAATATCTTATTTAGGGTCAAGTTGACCAAAAATCTGTTAAGAAACCCTTTGGTGCATTTTGATTGTTGGTGAGTGAATTATATGGACTGCATCCAGATTTTTACAATGATAACAATTAAGCTCATAATTTAATTCTGTGCTACAAATATCGACAGATAGGTTCAGGGATATAATTAACAAAGTTCTGATCTTTAAATAGATCCAAAAACTAATACCATGTTCATGAAGTATTCGGATCACAAATGATTAATATGTACGACTTAACGAGGATGTTAATAGTGATACTATACGTACCACATGATTAAGTAATTGGGGAAAAGTAGAACTATTTATGGCCACTTCTACATGTGTACAACAGAAACGATTTTATCAAAATTCAATCGATAATTATAATCAATGGTAAACGGATGATTTACTGACTGTTGACTTTGTATCCAAGCGTATTAATCCCACCGATTTGACTTCGTTTAGTTATTACTGTGGACTTAGAAATTAATTATAACATACTAATATTGAGGATTTTTTCATTGACATGTAATTAATGAAAATTGAATTAGGGCGATCTAAACGATAAATTAAGGGCTCCTACGTGAAATGAAAATTAAATCATTTGTTACTGACAATATTTTTTATTCTAGATTGCAGATAACATAGCATATACACCAAAACGAAATTTTGTAACTGTAATAACGTATAAATGTAACCAGTGATACACTTTCGACAAGTACGAATGCAAAATCTTTAGACGATGATAAGGTATGCTAAAGAGAATTTTTCTTCAAGTAACAAAAACGTATATCAAAATGGACACAAGTGCCAGTATAGGTATGTTACATAAAATGGTAACATTTCACCGCACAAAGAAATAAGCTCAACCAGCCTGACCTAACTGGAAATACCAAAGTAACCAAATTTATTCACGTTCTGAAGCTTACAATGAAGGCTGTTGTTGTCCAGTACAGAATCTATATAGGTACATTGCTATAGCTAACTATCAACATGCTTAATGTACACGCTAGCAATACTGACTCAAAGAAAATAATTACAGAGTAAGTAAATCGTAGTCGACGGATGTAATAATATTTCTCATTTACTGTAAGCTATTGACAATTGATGATATAGATAGTGATGATAGAGAGGTACCACGTTTTGCTTTGTATGCTTTTTCCCCTCTTTCAGCAGCCAAATCTAAATATTCCTTTCTATAGATGCCAGACCGAGATTCAATAATGTTTGTTATCTTTGTTACGATTTCATCTAAAATGTAGAATAATGACAACTATACTTGAAACGAATGTGATGCTAAAAATCGCTATCAATATAACAGTATCTTAATGCCAGATAGGGCAGATGTCTACCGGGGTAGTATTTCCCCAATATGTTATTCAGAAATTATGGTTTGTAACTTCACCTGTAATATCAGTTGGACCATCAAAATCAGTATATTTATAAGTATTAGCACTAAATCTGACAATACGAAATGCTTGTCGATTATTATGCTTATTAGGCTCTCCAATCTTTTCACATGCGACAACCAAATCAATATCAAATGACACCTAAATCAATCAAACAAACACAATTAGCTTTAATCATGGTAAAGGTTATGACGGCAACACCATAATAAAAATACTCCATAATACAAACTGGTTTCTGTTTCGACCAAAATTTAGACGTTCTTTGGTGAACGACCGGATCAATTTCAATTTTTTCACCGTAAATACCTAACGGAGAGAAATTTTCTTGTCTTATTTTTTAGAAAGTACCTCATAATCCTAAAATGTAGATTGTTGTTCATATGCATAAATTTACGTTCTTAAACAGAGAAACATCCTATACTGTTACACACCCAGCTGAATTTCCGTGTTGGCCCGAAATTTGTGAAACATGTTAACTCTGTAAGACTAAAGTAGTTTGGCGTTAGAACTGGCCATATTTGTGCATCACTTTTAGGTTTTCTAAAGCAAGTTACTCATTTTAAGACGTACTTTATATTGATGACTAGCTAACGAGGCTTGAATACTAGATGTTCCTGCTATATCTTCCTCTTTATCTTGACTACGCTTACCTAGAATAAGTCGTACTTTGGGATTCTATCTAATGAGCTAATTAAATGATGTAATTGGTAACTTACTATTTTGTCTTATTAAACAAAACTCAAGAGTTCCCATTGATTCCAAAGTCCTGGATAAGTCGATTGTTACCCTTGGTTCGCTCTTTTTCTCAAGGATATACTCCGGACCTTTATAAAAAAATGAGAAGTAAATTAAATACAAAATACGAACACTACCAGCATTGCACGAGTATTATCTTTTATTTGTCGCACCCGTTTTTTTAAGTCTTCTCTTTCTCATCATTTTATCTAAAATATCTTTCATTGGTACATCCAACCGGTCCACTTGAACACTAGAAAAACCATTAAAAGGCAAGTATCTACATACAAGAACGTAAATATTCCCATTTAGCATACCAAATCACAATGAAGAAGACATAATTCTACAATACTTACACTTTGACAACAATGTTTTTCTTCTTCTGCTCCTCAGGAGTCTCCTTCTATATTCCACAGAATTTGTATTAGACCATTTTGTGTGTGAAGTTATATTATATACTTTTTTAAATCATCTAAGAGTATATCTATATTACACGTTGTACCTCTACCAAGGCAAGCGAAGTAAATCCAAATCTAAAGATACTTTCTTTTGGATCAAGCGCTGTATGATGCATATAAAAAGAGTTACTCTTCTTTTAAGTTTTTCAGAAAAATGATTTAAAAATTATATACTGCACCAGGGAAATCCATGTCGACTTCACCATCATCCTCAGCAATGTGTAAAGCATATCCATGAGCAGAATTCGACTAAAAAAAATATAATTTTAATTTTGTCTATATAACTTTACTTAACCTCACATTTCTAATATACCTTTAGAGGAGGTTTTCTTCCTTCATTGGTGTACTTCCACAAGGCAAGTCCAATAGCGTCTTGTACGCAAGCATTGTCTCCAGTCACAATGATCGTCATGGGTATTCCATTCTCTCCCTAATAAAAATTGTTGCCTAGTTGCTGTAACTCAAGCACTAATTTATCCATTACTTTATATATCCTTAGTGTTTGTTGAATACCTCAGGCAGCATCGTAAAATATATATTTATCTTCTTTGTAGCAGCTTCTCCAACATTTCCCTTCATAGTCCAAAGTGAAAACATTCAAATTGAGTTTATACAAATTGATTTTCAAGGAAGCTCTAATGTACTATGATCGTATTCATAAATGTAAACGTCATCACCTCTCCGTCAAATTTACAGTAATCCTTGAACGGATTGTCTACATTGCCAACTTGCTCCAACAATAAAGCTAATATAGACTGGTTTGGTGCTTTAAATGGTTTGTCATATTTTTTGAACATTTCAGCCATTTCATCGTCTATTAAATTCATTGAGTATAACAACTTAAATTTAAAATAAATCATGTATGGGGGTCACTTTCCGATACAAAAAGCGTCAGCAATAACGTTTTCGCATTCCATTATAGGTACAGCATTAAGCAGCACAGCACAATTTAGATCATAAACTTAAGTCCGTTCACACATTCATCGTACAACTATACTGGTGCGCGTATGCTGATACATGCTAAGGTAAAACAGCTTCTAGTAGCAACTACGGTACCACTAGTCATGGATTTAGTAATCTATGCACCAAAAAAGTAATACCTACAGTACTCAAATTACGGCTCAGCGACGCTTTCAAACTGCTATATGTAACCATTATTGGTATTATTAGGCTATTATCTAGTTCTAGGTGTGTACAGTATACGACTACTGTAAATTACAGTCAGCTTCATAAAGCCTCCAATCTACAATTTGACATACATGTAAGTAATTAAATTATGGCATTATGAAAATGTAAACCTGAAAGATCACGTGGTTTATCTTTCCAAGTGACATTCCGGCATTTCAATTTATGTTCTTTGCTGTTATAAATGTTAAAATAGTAAGAAATCGAAATGATAGTGATGGTGTACTGTATGATCATATCATCAATTCCCTTTCTATACTATTAAGTTAAATTCAATCATATTAACATATCCAGTACGTGTACTGCTAACACTAAAACAAGTAATATCATAACCCTAGCAACATTACGACCTGTTCTTGTCTTTTTCAATCTTGGTTAACGATTTAGATCTTAGACTAAGGCTCGGAGTAGCGGATATATCCAAGGATTGGGAATATTTTTGAAACATCCTATCCTCGCTAATGTATGAAGTAAAAGTTATGTACTTATCACTATCTAACATATAAATAAATGCAGCATAATTAAGTAAGCTTAAATGGGTGATAATTATATAATGGCATAATATAATTTACAAACTCTAGATGTAAGCGAAATTAAAGTACGTAATTTATCTTAGGTCAGGTCTAATCCGCATTCTTCAACATCGTCTAGTAACTGATTCGAAATACGCGTACAGCTACCTTAACTAAAATTTTAGCAGTACCCTTGAACTAAATAGTCTAGTTATGGACTTCCAATATAACATCATGGTACTGTCCAGTACTTAATTCAGTACATTATATTATACATTTACCATATAGTAATGCCGGACATACCTACTATTATATAATTTCGTAATACATTTTTTGGCTTTCTTTGTAATTATTTCATCATCTTCATTTACAATTACTAATTCGCTCATACCTGCAAATACAATCATTTAATAATCTTTAATCTAGCATATTACGGCAACAAAAGCGTAATAACATAGTAAGTAGTATTTTACAATAATTAAGTTAAAGTGAAACTCTACAGAACACCATAATTTACAGCACTATGCAATGCCATAATGGCATTACGGTAGTTAGGATTACATGTTACATTTTATAGTTTCCGATAGTGTATAGTAGTATAACGAAGCTTGAATTAACTAACCAGTATCGTCACTAGTAACGCAAGAGTGACGAATATGTGTTATAATAAAATCTGCGTCATCCAAGAGTGCCATGATGGTTCATTGCCGTGCTTCAATCGAAGTTATTGGGAAAAGCACAGGAGTAATACAGTCTATAATTTACTTCTATAGCACAGGTGCACAGTAAATTCGGGCTTGCTATCGTGTTATTGCGCGAGCAGGATTCCGAGAGTTTTCTTATTGCTGTGCTGTTACTGTTTTACTAGTTTAGTCCTTCAATCGGTACAGTACTAATACTTTCAAGTTTGTCTCGAATCTCTGCCTCTGATATTACTGTCACTCAATGAGTAGTACTGTACAGTCATAGTACTGTACTGTACTGAAGCCAGAAAATCATCGGTACTGTACACTGTACAGTACAGGACGCTACTTTAACTCCTACAGTACTAAACTGTACTTAACTGTACAGACAGTACTGCACTGTACAGTACTGTACTGTACAGTATGAGTAATATTTCTACCGTACTTGTTGTACGAAAGATGTACTGTACAGTACAGTACAGTACAGTACAGTAGTATACTGTACAGTACTGTATAATAAAGAGTTCCCAGAGTAAAGAGTAAAGTACTCGTACTGTATAACATATATATTATACTGTATATATAAATTTAATTATAATTATGATTTAAAGATCGATGTTCGTTGTCCTCACAAATCGGAATCGATAAAAGCTGTAAATCCTAGCTGATTATGCAATGCCAAGGGCTAATATAAAGAAAAATTTTTTTTACAAAGGAAGAGAAAGGACTGTTGATGTCAACACATATGAGTCCGGAGATTTTGCAAGCTTACTGCTATCACAAAATGTTTTACGAGGCTTACGAGATGCTGGATATATTAAACCATCTCCGATACAATTAAAATCAATTCCAGTCGCACGTTGTGGATTAGGTAACCATTTCTGTATGACTTACTGATTTACTTCTGCTAGTGAATTAAATTTTCAAATACGTAGTACTATCATACTGAGGTAACTAAAGGTGCAATACAATACGAGACACTCAAAATATTTACTTCCTTGTCACTTGTTATTCGATAAAGATCTAATCGCACAAGCGAAATCTGGAACTGGCAAGACGTGCGTATTTGTCGTCGTTGCTTTAGAAATCGTTGATCTAACTATTTGTTCCCCTCAGGTAACGTCCAGCAGTAAAGGTTATTTCCCTTTCGAATATCACAACAGTGACTTATGTATTTGTCTCATAAGATATACTTAATTCAATAATATAATTGATTTCCTTATAATTAATTATAATATAATAAATGTCTGTAGAAATTGTATCGTACTTAACAGTGGGTCGATAACAATTTTTGTATTTACCTACGACTATACGTATATACGCGTACGTATGTTGCATATTGTACTGCTTAAATGTAGAAATGTACGATATGGTTTACCACTTGCAACGACAGTATATAGTAATTAATATATTATTAATTATGAAACAGCATCACGAACATGTTCTGATATTTATTTAGGTTTTAATTCTAGCACCGACGCGAGAAATTGCAATACAAATTAACCAAGTTGTGAATACTATTGGTAAATTTGTTGGAGGGTTATCATCACAAGTCTTTATCGGAGGCTTACCGGTTAAATTGGATAATCAAAAAACTAAAAACTGCCACTTAGCGGTCGGAACGCCCGGTAACTTACAAATCGCAAAATGTTATAATATATTGGTGTAATAGTACGGTATATCCTGAAGCTATTGCACTTTTTTCCTCCACCTCGCTGAAACTGCTCTGCTAATGCATTATGTCCCACCGAAGACCACATCTGATCATAATTCGGCTTAGGTTTATAACTTCGTGGTTTTCATTACTAAAACCAAGCCAACACTGTAAAGATAGTACAGCGCCTGCACAGTGCACAGGGGAAAGAATGGATTCATACAGTCTGTCAGTCTACATGCAGTAAACATCAAAGGAGGTTACATTATTAGGTGAATTTATAGGCCAAGGAGGTCATATTGTAGCTATCGATCAATCTCTACCCTATCAAACTTTTAAATGCTAGTTCAACACGAAGTCTATTTCAATTCATGAGGCTTCACTTATCTACTGCTACGTTTAATACGGTATATAGCACTTCCAGAAGGAGCTTAAATTTTTTGACTCGTATGCTTAGACATTAATAGTAAAATCTAAAATTGAATACCTTCAACACGAAGCACTTCAAGACATCAACATTTGATTCTTTTTATATGAGATTCGGCGTGCTTAGCGAAAGTTTACCTGGATAAGCTGCTCCCTCTGTCTTTTTCTATAAGATTTACAGCACTGTACATACAATGAGTATTTAGTAAGAGTTCATGCAAGACCTTTAGCCGCTGTAGCACTAGTAACATCGCTGTACTTAGATGTAGCAAAGAAGGGCATAGTCTTTCGATACATAGTATAATACTTTTGATCCTCAATCCCAACACAAGCTACCTGAGAAGCGTTAAGATAGCTTTCAAACAGGTACTCTTTCATGTTTAAATCCAGTGTGCGAGCATATCAAACTAAGCGGTGTCAACGGTAGCCCAAAGCAATTAATTAATTATCGAAAAACGCTCATCCGACCGTCAATGCCAATTATACGCGTACACATCTTCCTATATTAGAAAATAGTACAATATAATCGATATTTTCTAAGCTTAGATAAAATCTAGCAAATATCAAACGAATTATCCTATCGTACTGATATAAAGAACAAACGTAGGTAAAAGCTAAAGCTAATTGTAATGCTAATCTATGAACTACCAGAAGAAGACCTACTAGTAAAAGGCCTTCTTACTAGTAGTCCATGGCTAATGCGACGAGTTGCTTTACCAGCAAATATTGAAAGCCAGTCTATAAACAATTAATAATTGTTATATAAAAAATTACCTGCTGTTTAATACGTAATATGCATTCAAATCTACGTTGCAGTATTAAAATCTGTGCCTGTGCGACATACGCGTACTTGTAAACGTACATTTTGTAACTCTGAAAGAATTTGCTTTACAGGTCGTGTCCTTCAACTGATTGAATCGGGTGCTTTAGCAACTAAATCTATTAGATTATTCGTACTAGATGAAGCTGATAAGCTACTCGAAAAGAATTTCACGGAACAGCTTAAGTAATACTCATAAAACTTTTATCTTTAATTTTTACCCGTTAACCGATTATATACTATACATTATAGATTCCAAATTCAGAAAAATACTGTAGATAAAGCATTACTACCAATTGTATCTTTAGATAATAATTATTGTTTCAACTATTCTGATTTCATGTCGAAAATTACTTGTCACATTGTAGCCAAATCTTTAAGCATTTGCCGACATCAAAGCAAATATTGGCGCTATCAGCAACATATCCTGAATGTTTGACAAAATTATTAATTAAATGCATGAAGAACCCACAAGTTATAAGGCTGGATAGCAAAAGACCAGTTCTTCATGGTTCTGTTTGTAGATTACTTATACAATCAATTTATAGCATAGAAATACCTAGGAAAATATTGTAGAAACTTAAAACTAAGTAAATTCTCGGTATATTGCTTTACATACTTCATTATTAGGCGTAAAGCAATATTTTTGTAAGATTTCGTCGTACGCACTTTCTCATAAAATATTCTCACTTAAGGTATGATATATTACTTCAACATTTATTAACTCAATTTATACTCGCCTTTAAGGATAACATTACACGGTAGCCTAAAAATTCGGAAACACACTCATAAATTTAACGTATCATTCTTTTAGATCGACAAATTAAGTTATATCTTAACTAAAATCCCTTTTCATCAGTGCCTCGTATTTTCAAACTACCAAACAGTGTCGGTATTACGAGCAATACTGTTTTATATATCTTTCTGAAATAGCAATATAGAATCTTATTAAATGCTTCGAATTCGATCCTTGCCAACTTCTATTATATTATTTATAATTTATCAGAGCAACTGAAGTGAATAAAGCATTAAATGCTTGCGGCTGGCCTTCTATATATATATATGGTACGGTAAGAGAAAAAATGTAACGTATACTTAAACTAAGTGTAGCTGCGATCATTTTTGCAGTAGGATTTTAAGTCTCATTCTAGAATTTAAATGCGCAGGCGCTCAAAGCCAGAAGGATCGAATGGATGCTATAAAAAAAATGAACGATTTTTCTTGTCGTGTATTGATTTCATCCGACCTGGTAAGTTTATACTGTATTTGAATATTCACTAACACTCTAGCTATTTTGTTATGGTATACTATAATTACTTTTACAAACATACTGTCATATGCAATGACTAGAATCAATAGAAACGAAATCAAACGTATACAATTTAAGTAATGCACCAATAGCGCGTATTTTCTAATGCTTATAACCTATTTCAGACCGCACGAGGAGTAGATATCGAGAATATAGACCTAGTTGTAAATTTGGATTTACCAAATGATCCCGAAACTTATCTGCATCGAGTTGGAAGAGCAGGTCGATTTGGTAATACAGTAGATTGTTTTACCCCATTCCAGTTAGATATCCAATTGAAATACTGTATAACAAAGCCGGGCGTTAATCTAATTTACGCTAGGAAGTTCCGGAATTGCCATCACCCTTACAACCGCTGATGAAAGACAAAAATTGTTTTATTTTGCCAGGATTTTTGATATCGACATTAGTAAACTCCCATGTAAGTAGTACATAAAATACCTTCTATAGTTAGCTAAGAAACGAAGTGCTGTATCAGTTACTGATATTAACTTTGCTTTTGATGAATATGCTGATCTTTACAACATAAACTGACCATTTATCCCAGATCTAACCCCTCTGTCAGCTTCTATCTCAGGTAGTGCGTTACCGAATCTTGAAACTTGTACGACTGAGAAAAATTTTTTAAGAGAGCAACATCGCTCAATACTACAGCTATCTACTGCAAATCAAAATCAAACAGATAAAATCGATGGAGTTACTCCGTTTATTAACGAGCATTTACCCAAAGATGAAACTAAATCTCCACTTCTGAATATTGCTCTAGATGTATACGACGAAAAGCTGGATAAAAACTATTACCATTTCAATAGTATGCTGCTATTTAAACGATGAAGGGCTTAAAGTTTTATTTTGTAATACCTCTGCTCTCCAAAGAATTAATACTTTATGTACTTATAAATATCAAAATATTTTTTAAATAGATTTGAGAGACATGCAGAAAGCTGAATACGATGATTTTGGCGTTACTGGTGCTACTCAGGAAACTGAAACTGAAGACGCACAAATAGAGTCTACAAAGCTTTATCAAAAACGAATTTACAAGTCCCATGACGACCTATTGCAGAACCTGTATAGCCACAACGTATCTCCTTCATTATATCATGAATATCCAATTAACGTAGTCGAACAGCCGAATCAGTCTACACCTAACAACGTCTATAGCTATAACTATAAGCAAAGAGAGGAAATATCATCAAACCATATCTGGCAAAAGATCCAATGTTACAAGTTACATCTTGCTAATGATTCCTCGTATCCATCACGCAACTGTAACAATAGTAAATTTAATACATGGTATACTGCATACATAAACGGAATGATGTGGAACGAAGATTTAAATCGGTACTTGCAGTCCTTATCCGATAGTATTTTACGTTTTAAATACTAATCACATTGTAACTAATGTAGCAGAGACAGATTGAATTTAGAACATAAACTATTGTGAAAAAATTCGTTGTCAGCTTATTTAGGAAATAAATCACATCCAAATACATGTATTTATAGTTTCGGTAACTAGGCACAAAGACAACTAAAATTATAGCTACATTTTCACTTATAACATATATTTACTATGAGTATTAACTTGCGACCTATACACACAGACAGAAAGCAATGCCGATTTTAAGTTAGAATTTAATAGTTCAATATTAAGCTATTATTAACCTCAATAATAATATGCGCTACAACAGGATATCTATAAGCTGTATCGAATCTTTCGAATTCAAAATTGCATATTCCAATACAGGAATTTTATAGTACGATAACTGGTCAAGTAAATACAAAGATTTGCATATTAAAATGCTTGTTATCACCTGCGGAAGGGCTACACAAAATAGTAAACAAACACTAATCTATAAAAGTACAACAAACTTTTAATATTCTGGTGGAAGTACGGGTTACATTACAGATCACTTCTATTTTAATTTCCAAAAATGTTATATTAATAAGTAAAAAATATCTGTTACCAAAGCTGAGTTTCACGAACGTCACTAACTATTTGAGACGCCTTCTCTAGTGCCTGCATAATAATATATTACCAGATATTTTGAATCCAAAATACATATAGACCTCATATAAAATCGAATAATAATACCTTAATCATATGTATAGTCCGATTCCGTTTTTCAATTACGTGTGGTGATTCTTCCATTAATTCAGTGATTTCTTCTTTAATGTACAGCCTTTCAACTAATAGACTCTGTAGATGCTTCTTTACGTTATTCACTAGGAAATGCATTATCCCTTTTGGTACGCTAGCAGTTTAAAACAATTTTTTAATATCCAAGTGAAGATTTAGATTTAAATGTATCTCAAGATCTACTGGGCAGTAATGTAATGAAATCCAAGGTATTTAGAATAGCTGTACCTATCTTGTATGCTTTTCTTTACGATATCGTAGTAAGTCCTGATGAGACGCTCTAAGAACGAACCAAGAGTTGACATTACAGCATCATTTGTAATTCACATAGTTAAGAAATAGCTGTAAATAATATAAAAACTTACTAATTAATTCAGCATCTACTCTTTCTCGATCAGTTAAATCCCGCCCGAAGCTTGCTGCATTTTCCTACAAAGGTTTTATTTTTATACTAATGTTAGCATTGCCATTTGTAGGCTAACCTCTTCATAGAAATTGTTTAACAATAGTTGATTTAGACTTGAAGCTAACGTCGGAATCATCCTTTCTTGCATTTTCTCCGTTCATCAGATAACCAAATGGAATTATTCTTTTACTAGACGGGTCATTGTTATTCTCGAAAGTCGTCTGTAACTCCACCGGAGGTTTTTCCACGCTAGGCTTAGGTTTCTTTTAACAAATACAGGGGTATATAACTTAACTTACAATAGATTTTATGACATCAAAAGATACTACTGATAGAAGTATAATGTTAAATAACTGAGTTTCACAATTATCATACCCGGGTAATACGTCTATTCTTGTACTCTTCACCAGCCTGTTAATGTTTTATTTATTATCTCAAATCCAGGCCATTCGGTATTGAATAATATATAAACATACCTCCGACATCATCCTTGCAATAATTTCATGGCCCGATGCAAAATCAGGATGATTAGTATTGATATAAGCTAATTCGATAGCGATGAGATTGTCAACCTATAGAAAGAAGGGAACTTATAATAATAATATAATAGATAAATTCCTGTAAAATCTTAAATCTATAAAAAAGTAATTTACTAACCATCGAATTAGCAGGTTCAAGGCGTTCTCTAAGCAAAGCACTCGTAACTTCGACAATTCTATTGTGAACTTTAGAAAATCTATGAAGATCCTGTTAAATACGCATACAGTATGCCTAGTTACCTACAAAATCGTGAGAATACCTTACGCTACACTGCGATTATACACTTGTAGCAAATTTTAGATATCATTTAACCGGAGTTATGCAATGCTGAATGATTCGCTGCATTTCTTCATGGACTAACTGTACACATCTTAGACTAGGCTCTAAAAGTCGCTTGATTTGTCTCTTGACCAGTAATTCGAAGGCTAACTCTGGAACAAACAACGTGGGTCTCGGACCCTAATTGTATATTGTATGAAAGAAAATTCATCTGTACGGTCTGTCACATAGTATAAATCTACTTCATGTAGTAGCGTAATACAAAAGTACCGTAGCATTTCTTATTGCCGTAAGGATATCAGTTGTCGATAAGCCCCCTAAAGGATCGATTCCTTCCAAGGTCTTAAAGTAAACTTCGTGAAAAATATGAGATATTCGTGCTCCACCAATGCTGAAAACAATAAAATGTAAAATTAATCGCCTGCCATTTACATAGTGCTTAAATTAATATGAAAACATTAAATCCAATAATAGTAGGCTATAACTGTGAGCTAACAGTTCCGCTATTTCAATATTTCCATGAGTCCCTTCTATAGTTGCACAATAATCGGCAGCAAACTTGGTAATAACCCTTAATAACTCAGGTCCCTGATAAATTAACAAGACACCACTAACACAATTAAACGATCATACATCGTAGAAAATCAGTTAATCAAACATATGCAAACCTTCTCTATTATAGGTACACCAAGAGTAGCGAGTGTTTGCTGGCTATATGCCAACTTCAGATTTATCCGTGTCTTTAATTCCGGTAAACAATCACGAATATGAAGCAGCAATAACTGTATCCATAAAGACATAGTATTGTAAAAAATACTACACAATTTCATATTACAATACTAGTACGTATGTACTGTATTTAGGAACCTACGTATACCTTATTTAAGGTTTTTGCCAGATACTGGATTCCATTTCTATCAGATAATCCAGGGTACCGTTTCTGGAAAAATATGGCTTCATCACCGAGGGCTATTTTAATGGACTATAATGATAGTATGCAAATAATAAAGAACAAATATCTTTAAGGGATTTCATGTATACAATTTTAAATTACAACATGACTACCCTAAACAGGAGGTCCAGTCTAGGACTGGACTGTACCGAGGGCTAAATTGGCTAGTCTCACAAACATGACAAAAATTTATTACCTTCTTAACGTTGATATCTTGCTGACTACGATTTACCACACCAATAATCCCTAATTTTACGGGGATGACTGGCGTTATAGCGAATCAAAGAGCAATAAAATAACAATGTTAAAATTTAAGTTTAAGGCCACAGAGTTATAATCGATGCAAATTAAATAACACTGTTAAAATTTAGGTTTAAGGATACAGAATTACATCGATAGCTATTTTAAAATATATACATCTACATACATACCAAGGGTACGTTAAGTATCAAGCATTCCTCTACTATAGAATCTACATTAGACTGAAAATTATTAAATACGTAGCACAGAACTTACGGCGACCAGTTAAAATATCAGTCGCATCTGTACCGGCATCCATGAGATCAAGCTTCGTGACTACAGCTAACGTCCTCTTTCCTAACAAGATAAATATTTATTATAATCAGTAGATAGTATTATGTAAATTCACACAATCTTGAGTTTAAATTGATGACATATTTTATAGAAAAAATCATGGAAAACCTGTAGGATCGACTTCGCGAGCCAACTTTATGGCCTCTGATGTAGCCATATCAGCATTAGCAGCGCTTATAGCCAAAATAAGAGAATTGGGATTACTGATATACTCATAACACAAATCATAAATTTGTTTTTCAATGTCTGGAGGTTGATCACCAACTGGCACCTATAATTAAAAAGTATGAATATCTACAGTAGGAATCTGTCAACGAGTATTACATTTCACCCAAGGTTAAACCTTTGTAAGTCCAGGTAGATCCACCAAAGTTAAATTAAGAACGTTAGGTGAATAGATTTTTAATTGAATCGGTTTCGATGATATACCCTTCGATATAATTTTTATATTTTAGTAGATTTAAAAGAAAATTTAGATTTTCACAATAAGAATCAATCATAATTGTCTTGCTACGGTGCTACACTGTGTATCTATCACTCTCGTATCGCTCAAAGTATCAACGACAGTAGTCACCTTGCCTAGGCCCAATTCTCTCTCTGTTTCTTTGGTAATTTCAACCATGATATCGTTAAAGTCAGTAAATATCTACATGGATTTTAAGAATTTTCAACTCTTTGCAAGTAATCTAATAATCGTTCAGTGTTATTTTTAACTGTCGCTCTATACTGTATAATCTGCCGCCCTGAAGAGCATGTACTGTACAGTAATATCATCCATAAACGCCGTACGGTAGCCCCTATCAACTCCATCAATTTACTGTGTTAGATGACTAGTGAACTACTCAGAGAAGTAATGTACTTTGAATAGTCCTATGTACCCGTATTATGCAGTAGCTGTGTAATCATTCAAAATTATAATGGTATAGTATTGGTAGATTAAGGCCATTAAAGAAAGTATCCAACAAACAGAATGCTAAACTAACCGAATCACAATGTAAGAACTTTCCCCACTCTTCAGGTTGATCTGTCATTCCATGAAAATTAAATACAAGTTTGATTAAAGATTGAATTGTAGTAAAATTGATCCGAATGAGATTAAATTTGTAGACACAATACTGTACGTTAATACTGTACTAGTTTACAGTATATTCAGTACAACCTTTTTCTTCGCTTTCTGGATTAGCATGAATCAACTGCAATATCAATGGTCTTCTGGTGACAATTCCGGTGCCTACACATGAAACACAGTTAAAAATATGATAATTATAGTAGTCATTACTCTAACAAAAGTTGCAAACATGCACCAACAGACCTCGAGGCAAAAAATCCCTTCCAACTATACTCTCCAGAACAGAGCTCTTACCGCTACTCTATAAGTTCATAAATTTGAGAAATATAACCACTAAGAATGCATGCCTTCATTTTAAGCATTCACATATGCTCTATACTGTACAGTGTACAGTAGTCTTCTGTTATGCAAACTTTCGTAAATCTAAGCTGAATATAGGTAACATAAAAACATATTCACTACAATACTGTAGCAATCCGCATTCAAAATGCTTCATGTGCCCCACGTAGTGTTCTGTAACCCCATTCCGACTAAAATGTTGTTAAAACAATACAATCCTTACCTGAGTTCCAATAGCTACAATCTGAGGTAACTGAATAGCATCACTTGAGGCGCCAATAGCGATAAAAACTTCTTGAAGTTTGTTAATGACGGGCAGTAGCTGCTCCATAATGATGTGCAATAGTGCCAATCCTGCAATCCTTTACGACAGAGTACTGGAAATGTTTTAACTACAATAATACGGAAGTAAGATAACAGTCATTCGCCCTATCACTCAATTCATTTGATGGTAATTCATTGCAGCCCTGATAGGTGGATGTGCTCCATACGGTAACGCTAATCATTTAAACTTCATATTTACACTATTATTATATATTGCACAGTACCGTAAAGACATCATTAACTTTAATCAACGCATTTTACGTAATATACGACATATCTGCCGAGTGATCTTAAGTCTCTAGATCACTCGCACAGTTCCGTATGAAGATCACATACGGTACAAGATTATATAATTCATCAGAAAATTACCTATTTATTTAGTAAGTGAACCGGTCAAAATGCAGAATTATTTATCCAGTTGCGTAATTCCAATAAGAATACTGCATCAACTTTTAGTGAATCCTAATGAAAATTAATTACTACTTTTTATCACTCCCTAGTTCTTGGTTTGCTTCACCGTCTTCTGACCGTTCTGCCCAGAAAAATTACGCGCTAGTACGCGGCTACAAATTAGAGAATTATGAAATTACTACAGAAATAAAATCTCAGTGATATTTGTGCGCAGTAATCAGATGTACAGTACAGTACGTTGTAGAGTCTACATAGTATTACTGCACTAGTGTTGTACTGTAAATTATATAGATCATAAAGGTATTGGTCTGTACCTAAGACATTTAATTAAAACCTGAGCAGTTGAGCAGCCGTTAAATCCATGAAGCATCAGCCTGCTCAAGTTAGATGATAGCAACTTAGCACTAGCATCATATCATACAGTACCTGTACACTGTACTGTACAGTATGACATGATGCTAGTGCACTACTGTACAGTACAGTACAGTCTGTACTGTACTGTATTGTACTGTACAGTACAGTACACTGTGTAATGTACTGTACCAAACGGTCCAAACCTAAATCACCGAAGATTTGTATTATTGCCATTCTTTCGTAGTGAGTGAGTTTCCCTCTTGCACTATCGTAAACTGCAGAGGTATCAAGTGCTGTACGTATTTGCTACTGATATATAATAAATCTCACTGATCTCGCGATTACACCTGGTATTATAATCGTGCTAGAAGATCCCTATTACTGTATCTCGAGCCAGTTAAACTTGTCATCGATTTTTACGAACTAGAACAATGGCTGCCCAGTCTCAGTCTAGCAAGCGCGCCTGGAAGCTAGGTAATTAATTAACTTTCAACTTTTAAGAACATCATTCCGATCGACTCATGTTCCATGTAGCTATTTTACTGATCTCTACATGATTACTCAGCAACAGTTTGTTTATGTGTAAGCCTGGATTTTAATCAATCGAAATTATGTTACAGTTAACTTCAGCATTTCTTAACAACAGTACTTCTGCAAGATATTGTTACATCATCTTATTATCCTGTCAATGCAAACTCTTATAAATATAAATTGAATATAATCAGTAATATTCCCAAATTAATTAAGTATTTCCTCGGCTGATTACATATTTATTATAATGTATCACTATCGAATTCTATATTTTATTTTCAGCATTTCAATAATTATATATAATACTATTCTTATGGTACATTGAAGTATAGCATAATACAAGCGAATACGATAAGAAATTTATTATTATTCTACTGTACTGTATATAATATTCTGCCTTGTTACATAAATTTATCCGAAATATGTCTAGATACACTACAGTGTTATCTTTTATCCTCGCAGAAGAATTCGTTGCTCATACTTCATCAGTAAACTGCTTATCATTGGGTTCTAAATCCGGACGTGTTATGGTAACTGGTGGAGAAGACAACAAGGTCAATATGTGGGCTATTGGTAAACCGAATGTAATCATGGTATGTACAAGTATTATTACACAATCTATGAATATCTTATTTCCGGTATCACAATTGTACTTATACTGTATAAATTGTAATTTTTCCTGTATTCGATACCTGCATTTTCAGAGCCTCTCTGGTCACACTTCACCTGTTGAGTGTGTAAAATTTAATCCGACTGAAGAATTAGTAATGGCGGGATCGAAATCCGGAACGTTGAAAATTTGGGATCTAGATTCTGCTAAGAGTACGTAATTATAATATCAACCTAATCCTCTATGACCCCGTACTGAATTTGTGATTATAGACGCCTCCTCTGGTAAAAAAGATAATTCGCTATAGGCTCCGTTATCTGCTATTATTGTTAACACTCTCAGTCCTGGATAGGAAAAAATTCACGATTTCAACATGACTTATAATTACCAACTTATATAGTTGTTAGGACTTTAACTGGTCATAAATCAAACATTCAGAGTCTCAATTTTCATCCGTATGGTGATTTTGTGGCATCCGGTTCACTTGACACGAATGTCAAACTTTGGGATATCAGAAGAAAGGGTTGCATATTTACCTATAAGGTTACTAATTAGTCAGTTAGACTGCGACTTATTCCTCGTCGATTAGAATGTAGGACTTCTACATAATGCTTACGATTTATGCCTACGATTTATGCTAGATGCTAAAAGACTGTACATATATTAAAAATTATGGCTTGGACACATAGATATTGAAATAAATTTAATGATTACAGGGTCATACAGATGGAATTACTGCAATTGAATTTAGCCCTGATGGGAGATGGATTGTTTCTAGCAGTGCAGATAGTAGCGCTAGGGTGGGTCTGAATGCAATTTCTTATAATATTTCATGAATACACTATTACCAAGTTATAGTGATTCTGAACATTCATTTATCAAAATAGTTATGGGATTTAACTGCCGGTAAGATATTACACTCATTCTCACATAATGGACCAGTGAACACTATAGAATTTCATCCCAATGAATTTTTACTTGCAACAGGAAGTTCAGATCGGTATTACAGACTTAATTATTCTTTCATACCGTCGGAGTTACAATAGTTTTGTAATAAATTAATGAAAGTTACGCCTCCTAAATCAATTTCCAATTAGGACCGTAAAATTTTGGGACCTTGAAACGTTTCAATTGGTTTCTTCAACGGAACAGGAATCGAGTGCCATTAGGTCACTAAAACCTTCTTGAATAATATTTGATGCAAGATTCTATCTATAAAGAGCTTAATGATTAAGATATTTTTATTTTAAACTATAAATCTTAGGAGAATTAAATTTAGTGAAGATGGTTCAGTTATTTTTAGCGGACTGCAAGATGTTTTGAAGGTAATTTATTCACGAAGATCCTTTATGGAGCACTGCAATTAAAATCAAGTCTATCCGTCTGTAGGTATATAACTGGGAACCAATACGATGCTATGATACTGTGCAAGTTGGATGGGAAAAAATTGTAGATTTCACAGTTACTTCTAACCAGTTGGTATGCGCGAATCTATCATAATTATATTATCATACACTTGTCTTAATCCCTTATTATTTTCACTACATTAGATCGGTGCATCATTCAATCAAGCGAACGTTTCCGTTTCAATTATTGATATAGAGGTGAAATGAAATGTATTATTTAAAGTAATACCATAAAACTACAGTAAATTTTATTTTATACCGATCTTAATAAACTTTTACCTACCTATGCGATTTAACTACAGAAATTGAACATGACTGGCTCTAGTGGACAACACATGGGTATCACCCAAGATCATACTGCGAAAGTCGACATAGCTAGGTAAAAAGTTTCAATACGATAATTGTGTCTAGTCTATAATAAGTTTTAATTAAAATATAACAGTATTACTACATAAGCAAGACATACATATGATATTTTATCATAGTAACAACCCCTGATGCATTTTAATGTACTGTTACGTAGCAAACCGCCAGAATATATGAAGCGTCCTGCAACTACGTCAACGAAACCTTCAAAGTGTGCAAATTAACGCATTTTAGTTTCATTATATATATACACTAGACCTAACAATTAATACGCTTGCTGAAGGTTGGAAACGTCTGAAATTCCAAACTCTGAAAAAGCCCCCACTTCACAGCGACAATCCTTAACCGATATGGGCGAAGTTGAGCGACTTTCCTCTCCGGGTTACCAGGACGCCTTTACTTCTAGACCTAAAATTCGTAATTATAATATTACCATAAAACAGCTTGATTAGATATAAATCTCATTAATTGTAATTTAACTCTTAGCACGCGATAGCAATCCTAAAGATATCCCTGTAGATCCCTTCAAAACCGAAGGTATAGTAATTTATTAAAAGCTATTTGTCTACTTCATTAGCTATATTCAATACCCTTGCTATTAATGAGTTCAGACATCACATTCTTATGCAGCTTTGACAGATGCTTTAATGATCCAACCAATTATTTAGTTGGTGCTGTAGGTGATACTAAACAGTCGAAATCGAATGAAAAGTGCGAAGTAGAAAATTTATCTGAGAAGACTACCGATGCAGATGACTTACAGTCCTGCCAGGTATATAACGTATAGTTTGATATTTCAGCATCATTTAGTATTGCTACTGTAATTAAGCAAGTTTAGTCCATGAAGTTAATCAGCTCTTTTAGAATCTAGTCACGGTATTCTGAAATTCGTAATAATCAATTATTTTTAGAATAACAAAAGAGTAAGCTCTGCTATTTCATCGGAAGCCGTATCTGTTACGCTAAAAGAAAAAGCACCGGAAATAGACCTATCACTTTTTCCTACTGAAGTAAGTCCGAATGGATAATTTTGCACTTATCTGGCTGGTTCTAAAAGTTTTTGTTATTTAGAAGATTTGAATTATATGTGCATATGATGATAAATAATTCAATCCAATCTATATTTACTACAGAAAACAGACTCCAAAATAGATGAAAATAAAATACTACTTGAATTATTAAAAGGTAAATACAGAAACGCTTGTTGACTTCTCTTATCAACCAATAACCCTAACCACATCTTCCTGAATTGATTCCTATTATTTATAACCAGATCATTCAGTTATCTGTTCAGTCATCGGTAATCGAATTCAGAATTTGAATGCTATCCATGAGCCCTGGATGAACGGAAATATAAAGGTAAAAACTTAAAATTTCTTTAGTTACTTTTAGATTATTATAACATAAGATACAGGCAATTTAAGATATGACAATCGTCCTTTTGTGCATGATAGGATTCAATTGATAAAGCCATTCAAATTCAAGACACTGCCGTTCTAGTAGACCTATTAAACATATTGATACGCAACCAGTAAGGATTATTTTTAATTTAGACCCTTGCATCAGACTATTTAAGCTTACTATTATTTCTGATTATGCGCAGTAAATTATGGACCCTCGATATTTGTGCTTATACGCTACCTCAAGTAAAAACCCTAATTCAAGATAAACGGGAGTGGTAAGCTTAAATGATAAACTTGAAGTTAGATATATGCTAATGCTTTCGTATACTCCACGCTACCCAGTTATATCCGCGTGGCCTGCCAAGTGCTTCGGTTAATCCTCAAAAACTTTGGATCTTTAATCAAATCCACTCTTCGATCTACAGATTTCGTAACTGGTGTAGATATTACAAGAGAAGAAAGGTTAGCCAGTTATTATACTTATAGCTACTTAATACAGTATTCTCTTTAAATATTTTATCCAAGTTTATAAATTCTCGATGGCTTCGCCTTTTCTTTTAAATTCGACCGTAAAAGCTTTTGATAATCTATTTTTAACATGACTGTCACAAATTGATGCTTGAACCACTCAGAAAGATCGATGTAGATACCTACCCTAACTCAGCGTAAAAGTGCTTGCTTATATTTTACTATGAGACAATAAAATAACTTTATTCTTAGCTCGTAGACTTGTCGCTACTGAATATTCATATACCATAAGAAGAACAATTTTTTGACCCTATATAAATATTATCTCAATTATGCGATTAATTTTAGTGAGTGTAAGATCTTTACCGTAATATATACTTTCACAACTCGGGTTGAGCATGTAGGAGTTATCATTTTCTTCTATGCAGAGTTAAAGTAATGAAAAATCCAATATTCTGTATTACTATGACAGAGAACACCCTAAGTAATATACGTTGTGGTTAATGCAGCAATTTCTGTCCTAACTTATTTTATCCATGTTGCGTAATGCTAAGCTATCAGCTATTTACGTTAATAGTTTAAAAATTTATTACAGGCTCGAAAAATGTAGAATTTGCTACGAAGAACTATCTAACATTAAGACCGTTATTTCTGAAAAAGCTATGATTTCTGGAAAGATTGGAGGAACTTTTCGTGAACTGCAGCTAGCTTTTGCTACAGCAATCGATTAACAGTGATACTATTTAGAAGTACCTATTCTATCTGAATAATGTTGCATACGCGCTGCTGCTAGTATTGGCCAAATTACATATGTTTAATGTAGACTCTAAATTACTTAATTTCTACGATTTATTAGTCTGAATTTATCTACTTGCATCAATTAACTATTCATTACGGTAAACCCAGTCTATTTTTAAATAGCCGAGTACTGTATTGGTTCAACCTGTAAATTTATAATATTTTGTTCTCAACAACGACCTTTGTAAACATATTTCATTTTCATTTTTTTGTATCCATTATCTTTCTCGTAATGCATACGCCTCAAACAAATTTCTTTGTATAGATTCCGTAAAGCAATCTATTATTCATATTAGGGTATTGATACTTAAATATGGCGTGGCAGTAGGGATTACTAGCTGATAATATGTTTATACTTTTACATTTTCTGATCCTTAAACGTTATCAAGTTTGTACAATAGACACGATGATACAATTCAAAACAAGTGCTTCTGTTGTTGTACCGAATAAACGGAAACAATTGCAATATGGCTGCAATAAGTTCTCGAGCAAATGTAGAGACAGCGTATTAGCAAAGTATAGAACTTTATTAAGACTTATAAATACGAACTAATAAAATATGACAGCAACGCTCATATATATAATCTACCATGGAATATTCTAGAACTTATTAGTAATTATTTTTGTATACATAGAATGAGCATTCTAGAAGGTTCTACATACAGTACATATGAGGTTCGAATACGTGCGCATCTAAGACTGACCCTTACGAAGCCACTCTACTAATACTATGACGATGGCATTTACCGCTCTACAAATTAAAATGTCAAATATTTCTGTTATTAAGGTTTATAAGAAGCTATGATAGAAATACTCTTGGATTATCTGGATCCGTATAACATGCAAAGTCTAGGAATATTGTCTTTGCTTCTTTATAAATTATATTTATTATTGATAGCATTATTCCCATAAACGGCTACTAGGGTGAGCCTACGTGCAAGTGACGCGTGGTGTATATGATAACTATGAAGCAATTTAATGAGTTTATTGCGTGATTGATGACAACAATAACCTCTATTAGGCGTAAGAGATTACAGTTATTTACGTACTTACGTTACCTTATCAGGATAAACACGCTAGGGTGGCACGTGCCAGCGCCGTACGTATATCTGGTAACGAAAGTAAGTTTCCTGAAGGAACCAATTTTTAATGAGTTTATTGCTCGATTGAAGACAATAATAACCTCTAGTAGAATTTAGAAGCGTCATAAGTTCTTTACGTATAAGTTTAGATACGCCAACTTTGATTTATAATTAATTAATTATAATCAATATGAGTTTGTTAATGGAGAAATTACGCTGTGCTAAAACTGCATGATTTTTTAGTTACGCGTTACTTTAGGTCTCAGTTAAAACTTTATAACATTAATTATTATATTATCAACAACGCTGCGGTATACTACAGTGCCTTTAGCAAGTTGAATGCAGTAATTTTTTGGTTTTGATGTACTGTAGTACAGTATTGTAAATTATACTGTTGTGCATGTACTATATTATGAGAACTGAGTGTAATATGTAGTTGCAGTCAGTGAACAACATTAACTATACCGTACAGTAAATAATAATAATCTACAACGGGCATTACGAAACTAGTTATTTTGATAGATAAAATTTATAAGTACGTATACATGGATATCGCTTTAAGATTTATTATAATCGCTGTTAATTATATAGTACTAGTACGATAGACGTATGCAGAAAGTTCGACCAACCTTTATCATTTAACTTGGAGACAATTAGTTAATAATTAGAAATACCATCCATTGCTATTACTAGTAGTAACGTACATTTGCAATAATCCACTCTTATTATACTGTACACACAAATACATATGTTTTCCCGTTATAATAGCTTACTATCGCTTATAAGAATTAGCATTCATTACTCATATATCCGATACGATATTAAAATTTACAAAAGTCACAAATATATAAGGTTCTGTATTCGGCAAAGTTTTATTTTGGAAACACAGCATGTACTACATATCGCCACCGCAATCATATAGATTATTGTAAGGTTATACTTTTTACTCGTTCGCTGTCATAGACACCACTCAAAAAGTCGATATATGATCATTTGATAATTGTAAACTCTCACGCAACAGCCGATCTTCCACCTAGAATACCAATAAGTAATTACAATCACCTCAGATAAAACTTATAAGTAAGGTATGCAACATTAAGAAATCAATATTAACTATGCAGGGTCTCCAAAATATCGAATATATATCTAAAGATTTTAAATTATTGTAGTGCAATAAACGAGCATATTATCCTATTACGGATCTTTAGAGGTCTACCTATACACAGTTAAGCAGTATATTTTAAACACCTTCTATCAATCTAAACAATTAAAACTAATTAATCTTTCTGATTTATCACCTTGGCCATTTCTTCGTTAAATTCTAAACATCCTAAACCCTCCAAGCGTTGAACGTCTAACCATCCCTTCCACTTTACGCACACACCATTCATAATAAATGAGCTTGTTAAATATATCTATATTAGAAATAAAAAATACCTGCAGATATCTTTAAAATGAAAATTTTACATTAATTGAGCAACGATAAATAACGGTTGCGCAGTATGGGATATTACTACCCCCAATAGTCACCGCACCATAAGACCTTACACTTATAGATAAATATGACAATTTTAAGTACTTTACTCGATTTAACCTTAATTATTATGACAAAAAACGATTGTAACACCCATAAAATGGTGCAGAATATCATTATGAAGGAATTTAATGAGGTACAAGGCACTTTGCTTCGTATATATGAAATTCTTTTTTTAGGAAACACATATAAGATACAGATATTTACTTTTATCTTGAAATGTAAACAGAAACTATGCAAAAAAATGATAAAACATGCAGCATACAGTAGCTATAATATCAGAACTGTGATTTAAATCCAAAAGATTTTAATATTCTTCATTTGAAATTTTTGCTTAAATTTAATCCATACTAGACGTGAACTTACATAATTAGAAGTCCTTGCTTGTAAAGATTCTTAGTAAAATTATATTAATTTTATGATAAAGCATATGGATACATGTATGTTTCATTATCCACCTCTTGTAATAAAAAGCAAGTCAGGATACGACTCACGGCAAAACGTAATCGCTTACAGCTCTGGTATAACAATACAGTATATAGTTTTCTCATGTACTATATACTGTAGTATAATAGATTACGATGACACATATTAAAAATGAATCTACTGCAGATTTATTCTTTAAATTATACGGAAATAAAAAGGATTGTCACACTTTTAATTGATTAGATATTGATCATTCCAACAGCATTATAAATGTCTTGGCTTTTTAAAGTCATAGTGTACACCTATATTTGCTACTTGATCTAAAATTCTCATTACGCTATAATTCCGTATTTTCTACTCGAATTTGCGTAAATTGATTTTAATAATGGTGCTCTATAATCGTCTCTAGTAACTATACAATACAGTATCAAACTATCAATCCATCGTCTTGTTTTTACAAACTTTTATTACCATTTAATCTATCTTGTGAAATATATAGCCCATCATGGTAATGTCATTTTAATTGTAATAAAGAAAAATAGTTCAGAATCTGCGGACATAAAATTTTTACTGTATCTTTAATGAGCTGTGTATTATAACTACTGTATCTTCCCTCGGACATTCTATATTAAATTAGGAGGTATGAATAGAATCGAAATAAAAATTACCTTTCCAGCATTATTATCGATGTCAACGTTGTAATCTCTGTCCATTTTATCTTCTGTATCTTTATAAGCTGATTTACAATGCAGTTCCAAATTGGTACCTGTAGAAACAAACGTCTATAAAGAAATAGATTCCTTAATTTAAGTAAACCAACTAGATATACTGTAATTCAGCGCATATACATATAGGCGTATATATACATGAAGGGCTAAATTTTAAGGCATTAGAATTAGTAATATTACATGAATGCATAGAATGACCCATATTCCAGATATCTAAACTGGAGATTTAACGCAGTTATGAAATCGCTTCATTTAATTGATTAAGACTAGCATAATCTAATGTACTATGTTAGGAGCATGCTCGCTTATAAAGTTTTGAGATTAATTTCAAGTATGTGGTAAGGGATTGAGTTTTTAGCAAAGCCGATAAGAGTAAGGTAGTAGATTTACATCTAGTTTTAAAATTACCTCAATCGGGTTCAATCTATTACTGCAGAAGCCTGATTTATTTACTTGCATAATGATAACTAACGTGCATTATCAAACTACAAGTATTCGTGAGTCGGCAGAGAACAATATTCCATGAGCGGCCTATCTAGTTAAAATACTCTTATTTTAAAACCGTAAAAAATCATCAACTTCTACAGTAATAAGCAAAGCTTAATGACCACATATCAAGCAAGATATCGTGCTCCAATTAATAACGAAAATTAAAACTAAATCATTAATCTAGCGTATAATTATAAAAAAGATCATATTTGAGAAGAATAAATGAGTAAGAAAGATATTGTACAGTATCAGTAACACCATTCATGTACTTTTATCATGTATTATCCTGTAGGACCATATGAAGATATTGCAACACAGTACTGTGATCCTTTCATACGAATTAGTTTCATCAATCTTCATGAAATAAGTCTATCACTAGTATCAAATCATAGCTTAGACTACTATTACCTAATTTAGTCAGTCAAGAAAACTCACCACAATCGAATAACCTTCTCGGCAATCCGATTGAAATCGCATGACTCTTTCTTCATGGGAACGATCAGGGAAACCAGCGTATTTAATCTATTTACAGCAGAGAATTGTACAATAAGATTTACTAGTAAAATAACGGATAGTAATTCAGTTTCCTGAAGGATTAATGGCTTCGAGCGCTCTTGCTTTTACAACGCTATGAATATGCATAACTAGCGCCATTGTAGTCAAATAATCTTCTACTAGAAATCGCTGAGGGAAAGCTTCATTTACTTCTTGAAGAGATAATAAGTTTCATATAATAATACGTACGATAGTAATTACTTAATCCTTCCGATTAAATAACAGAGTAATCGATCGTATGATATAAAAAGATGATAATAATTAAAAATATGAGCTGTAAATAAATAAGCTTCCGGTGGAAATTACTTGCAAAAAAGTTTTATTTCATCTCTCAAGCAAAGCGGTAGTAATTACAGTAGGTAATGATTAATAGCCATTTTATCGAATAACAGAGTACGGTAAGTAGAGAATTGTATCAATTTTATACAATAAAATGGCAATAAGTAAAAATACAGAAATTGTTTTTGAAATATACGGTCCGAACATAATTAGTTAGTGAAGGCGACAAATAAGATTAAATGCTTGAGAGCAATATGTGAATATATATTATAATCAATATTAAAGTAATAACTTCGCTAATATAACAAAATACTCTTACGATAATACAAAATAATGAGATCTATGAAAACTAGTAATAGGCTTGTGATCAAATACTGATACAACACTTTAATACGCTCATTAAACCTCTACAGTAATTTAATATGAGATATTAAAGTGATTTTATTTGAATTCTGTGATGTATCATCATAATTTACCAGTTTTCTATATATGATATCTAATACGAACTACAAAAATATAAATATGATCGGTAACCCAGTAATATGTTACAATATATCTTATTCGAAGTCTGCGATCTATTGTTATACAGTAGTCTACCATTGCAATAAATACCCTTATCCTAAAGGGTCTCACTCCGTAGTCTACGCAACATTATAGTAAGCAAGCTTACTCATTTCAGTACTGTAATTTGACGACGACGGGTTATAAACTTTAGATTTCACTACATTACACTAGTGCATACAAACTGTAAACTTATTGTAAATGTAAGCTGTGATCCTATCCGATATATACGTATTCGTCATGGTACAAAGATTACCTCAATCATAAGCGTTAGCTCGGTTATAGACACGACTACTTAGTCTTACTCAGTCGTGCCATAGTAATCCCTAATTTAACATTATTTAGTTCTTATGAAATGAACACCATTTGATGCAGTAAATACAGTTTGTTTGGAATAAAAATAACCATAATAGCCATAAATTTATAGGATCTGAAATCAAACAAAGAAGGAACTACTATGCCCAATGCAATTGATATACATAAATTATCCTTGTAACATGGAATCAGAAAAGAGTTTAACCTTGAACTACCATACCCCCATTACATTGAACTAAATGAAAGTAATCTCAGAATTAGAAGTATGAAAGAATCAAATCTTAAAATAAACCATGCAAAATATTATTTCTAACATAAGATTTGCTACAATTAAAAGGTATTCATACCGACACGGGGGGAATAAGAATAAGGTCAGTCAGTTCCTCTGATTATAAAAAATGATGATATACTTCCGCTTTGTCAAAATTGCTAAAATATTTTTATAACCCAGATTATCAACCAGTAATTACATGATAGCAGAAATTTATTTCGAAATTTTTGTGATTTAATCAAGCCAGAAATACAATTTTTCAACTTATTGTCCGATAAATTGTTATTGCCACTATTGGAATAAATCAAAATGCCAGACAAGAATTTTTATTCCGATACCTCTGAATCGCGGCTAAGCTTGCGAAAAAGTTCGTCACTTTCAAATTTAAATTTTTGATCAGGTACAACTCGAGGCATGGTTTATCGGTAATGATTATAATCTATAAAGTTTGATTCTGCAGTAGATAAGTAGATATGATTAGTGAGATGATAATTCGATAATGTCATGGTATCGTAACAAAAGATTTTTGAGTTAAAAACATTAGTAATCTTGTCTTATTGATTGAAGAAATGTAACCTTTAAACAGATTTACAACAATTTTAAAGATCTATTAAAATAGAGTAACTGCGTAAGACTTTAACTTTGAAAGTCCTAAAATATTAAATTAAGTAAGGCAAGAATTTTATTGATTATTATTAAGATAGTTTTATATTACACTGCTATTATCACCTTGCGCTTACGCTGACGATTTCCAATAGTTATGACTCAAGGTGGTGAATTAGAAGTACGCGTATGTAGTAGTTGAATGTGAAGTCTACAAGATTTCAAGATATTTATATACTGTAGTAATGTAGTTCATGCCTTTATACATATGTTGAATTGTTCCTTTTCAATAAGTCTTCTTTTAAAATGTCCAAAATTTAATTCAATACCTCACGGCGTCACGTGATTTAGTCAATTAAATTTAATTTATTTAAAGTTCAATTTTTATAATGTGTCTAAAGGGGAATTAACAAAAGAAAAAGTCTGGACTTCAGCAGATGCTATTATAATTATGATCCTTTAATTAAGTTTAGAATATTTTCAATGCTTCTTAACTAGTAAAATTGTTGTTATATCGTATCTTGCTTTGCGAAGAAAAATATTTTTACTACTTTACTACATACCTGTGTATTACTATACTTCTGTGCTGTATGTACAGTACCTGAGTACCCTACGTTCCGTCCTGTATGTGCATTGCTAAGTACCTCGATTGGCGAATAATATTAACGCTGTATAGTATCAGATAATGGTCATTCGTTTAATTCGGTTAAAGAATTATAGTTCATACTATAGTAATTTGCTGTATTTGACTTTCCTAATGAAATACTGCCGAGTCATGTGAATATTCAGTAAACCCCTTGACGTAATGGAGTTTTCAAATTATCAATTAGGTTTGTCGTTATATTTTGTAGTCCGTCTAAAAATATACTCGTAATCGTTACGATCACGATTGTGTTTCGTATATTACAATGTAATTTAAATTACTTATGTTGTATATGGTACGCGAGTAAATTGTAGTTTGTCACTGTTATTTCTTTATATTTCTCTCCTAACTGTAATCTTATTTTCAATACACTGAATGTCTTTGAATGTTTAATCTCCATTATGAATAAGATTTACTATCTAAGATTTATTACCCACTATACAATTTTTAGTGAATATTATTATATACTGTATTGACCATATCATTGTTTGTAGTACGTCATGTGAAGATATACGCGTATTAGCAAGTCTAGTATATACTTCTTCGTCTTCATATGTATTTCAGCTAGTCAATTATTTGAATGAGTATAGCACAGCAGGTGCTCGAAACAGTATAACTAATGAAGAGACGATTAGGGCTTATGTCATGAAGGTACGGCTCATACTAACATATAGCTAAAATGCACGATCTATATATACGCGTATATATGAACGATAATGCTTATTACAGTATATCAGTTGCTAATCTACCTTGAAATAATCATATACCTTCTGCATAGTCAGCTGTAATGCTTTTTATGGTCTACAAAATATAGAGTAGTGGCCAATAAGCATTTCCCACGTTTCGGAATATGTAACACATTGATTTAGATCAGTACCAGTACATTTAATCTATTTTTATATTCTCATATGGTCAAGTGATGCCATGTTATGATAAAGGTAGGTTGATTTAGAAAAGGAAGATAGGTATTTTAATTCTAAAATGATGCTGCTACAATTTCCAAATTTTGTAACAAGTACTAGATCTGCACTCAGCAAGGAGACCCAGTAATTAAGTTGAAGAACTAACTTTATTGTTAAAATAATGAGTTTATATACTTTCTTTATTGTGACCTTTGATCTACTGGCGTAGATCACAAGATCATCACTAAGAGAAAGGTTTCCCTAGTTTAGACATTACAAATAGGATATCATACCGAGTATGGCAACATGAGAATACATATATAGATAAGCTTAATATAGTACCATAACTACATCTATATACGCATGACGTGATAATAACATCGTGATATTTAACCATATATAGAAAGAAGGTAACATACTAATTATGTAACTATTACAGAACGTGACAGATGCAGATGTAAGGAAGATAGAATTCGAAACTTACATCACCACTAGTTTCACTCCAGTCATTTAAATACACAACAGCAGTAAAGATTTAGGACCCAGAAAGAAATTTCTGTTTAGGCTTACAACTAGTGTTCAGAGGACAGCGAATACTGCGTTGCTTTTTAGTTACAGTGCTATTTATATAACTTATACTGTGCTTCTTGCAGAAACGATACTTTACGTTCTATGGAGACATAGCAAATATATAGTATAATGTTACAATATTGACGAGTTTATCCTATTTTGCCTAATGGAATACACCATATATACGGGTTTTCCGCTCCTATTCTATCTTCTCATCGTTGACTGAACGTAATACAATTATAGCACAATTTGGTGATATCTATAATTAATCAGTGCGTACAAGTATATATCAAATAGGCATTGTGTATTCACTATCGTAGCAATTTAGTTTTATTATATATTTATTATAATTACTATTGTTATCAAACATAACTATATCAGGAAATGATAAGCTCAGAATGATAACTGAGTAAATAGCATCTTTTAACTAGTTTACGATAATTATTTCATTGTTTCAATAAGTGATCCGACGTTAATATGTTATATAAGGAATGTTATTACGAAATACGGGATAAAATTTCCTTGGTAATTTTTAATATAGGGGTCTACGTTGTATTACATTAGCAGCATCCGATATTATAATAATTATGTTACTGTAGTACTTAAGTATCAATTTGTAGTAAGCATATAGAGATGCTTACAGACAAAAATACTTATCTCATCGAATTTACTTTGGTGTGTTATCATTTGCCATAACCCCATCAGCCAGTATCATTGTTGGATGTTACCGCATTTGTTAGGACTGAACTATATTCATAATATATTGCTATGAATCGTCACTTTAAATTATTTAACCGTACGATTCAATAATAAAATGCAATGAAGATTCAGCTTAATACTCTAGTAAAGATTTATGTTAATTTCCAGTATCACATATTGAGGCTTTAAAAACTTTTAAGAATGACTTAAACGAATAGTTCACAGTGGCAGAACAATAACATTCATAGACAGTTCTCAAGAAAATGATTTAAATTTGTTATTTAACTGGGGAAGGACGAAGATTCCAGAATTAAAATTACATTAAGGTTAGATCACTATAATAAAGAAAGTTTGGTTGTGAGGTTCCTCACCTAGTCTTAAAACTATTCCATTTAAAATTCGTATATGCCACGCCTGTGCTGTATATATACTTATCGATATATATTTAATTTCAGTACACTATAATGCAGGAAATAATATCAATTTAAGTAATTCAACATTTAATTGGAAATACGATACGACACAATACAAATTATTTTGGAGCAGATTGGTTATAAAGTATCGAATTAGAACTATTACGGTATTGTTGTACTACTAGCGTTTTTATCTTAATAGCATTATTGGGCTAAAAGGTCTCTATTGAATTATTAGTATTTTACGGTACTAGAAATCAGAACGACAGAAAATAAATGTACAAGATGGCACTAATTTTTATAGCCAATACTTGCTATTCGTCTAATATACATCATGGGTTACTAGAATTTTTTTAAGTATCATACAGTAGAAGTCGAACCATCTGCAGCCTGCAGGTACGTTATACTACTACTGGCACTGTTCATTATTACTCAACAGAGTTACGTGCCTCCATATATAAATTATTGTCATTATGAAACAATGAGAATTTAGACATTCAATTATATATATAATTACAATTAAAGAATCACAGTCCATGACATTATCCTATTTTCAGCCGATATAACGCATGTCGTAGCGCCATCAATATTATTTTAAGCATAAATATTGTACGCATAAGCTATAAAGAATCTATTTCCATAGGATATATACTTTCCAGTGCAATCTTTCGAGAACCAAGCTTTGTTCAAGATAAGGTGTCTCCTCCTTTTATAACCTATATTAATGACATGTTTATGTTAATTTTATCACTATACTAGAATCCTATCTTTATCAAAAATGTAAGAACTATAATGGAGAGCTTTACTATTTACTAGTATTTTAAATCTTGTAATATTTTATATCATTGCAATACAGCTGGTATTTTATTACAGCACAAAGTTTATAAGCTAAATGTTAGATTTGGATTATACCGTCCTAAACTGTGTTATCGTTGTTCATATTAAGTACTCTATAAAGTGCTGCGTCGTTACAATCTAGTTTATGTAATGATACTATACCAGAAAGAGGAATCATATCACAGCAACATAGTACTTAAATAGTATTGTATATATGTACAGTATATACCGTATATTTCAGTATATCTATTAGTACATAGAGTGTATTGTCAGTCGCTATCGCTAATTAATTAGCTATCGTACAGTCATTAAGCAATAACAATTTGCATTTACAGTTTGTTAGATGGTTAAGTGAATACATATGCTGGATTGTTTCAACTTCATGATTTTAATTTTATAGTTATCGGGTGCCATTTGGTTCATCAGGTACTGAAGAAAACGTTTGTTTTATACAGTACTGATACTATCAGAGTTGGTCCCTGATCCTGATAGACTTTACCTTAAGCAGTAAAAATTAGGTAATTTTCTATAAATCTCGTAGTGCAGTTTTCAATTTTACTTACCTGAGCTTCTAGATATTCAATTCTCTTCTCGAGCATTGTTAGTTTTTCATTCAAATTCGCTAAGCGTGATCTGCAAGTTATATCTATAGTGGAACGTATTTCAGAAGTGATATATATAATGTTATTATTAGATTTTAAGAAGCACAGAAGATGAAAGGTATACTGTAAAAATCTGATTTTATCAAT